ATGGTAAACACATGTTAGGCCATAAGAAGTAGATTCTTTGTTTTGCGTCCTGGTAAAATCCATTTCATGCAAGGGTACAAGGAAAACAAACACAAACTCAAGAAAAAACACAAACTTGTTTGCTGAGAAATGTATACATTTTATGGGCATAAAAAGGGATGACATACCAATTTGCATTGATTACAAACACATATCTATACATATTATACAATATATTTAATAAACATAGCTATTATTCAAGGGTTAAAAAATAAGAAAATACACAATGTACACGTATGCCAAAGTAATTAATAACACTGTCAATTTTGACGCATATCAAATTATCCGCCATTTCGTCTGATTCTGATTGAACGAAATGCGATGGTACTTTCAGACCCTTGTGATTGCTATTTGGATGTGTTTGTTTTTTTCTGATTTACTCAAAATCGTGCAAGCAAGGGGACGCAAAACAAAGAATCTACTTCTTATGGCCTTATCTTATAATTGAATGATTCATATGTTTATTACTTTAACATTACATAATCTCATCAGTTTATTGCTTCTACAAATCCAGTCCTCTGTTGATAAATATTGTTAAAATGTCAATTTTAAATGATAGTACGGTAGACACTGCTAAGTGGAACTAGATAGGCATCCATCTATTTTATAACTAGACTCTCCATGATGCAGGGTAACTTTCATTGTTTTATCCTAGCTAATGTGGTATTTTTATTTATCACTGTCTATAAAACATATAGATCACATGGCATCAAAATGACACGTTTATATTTGACCTAACCCCTTTAGATCTCTAGAAGGTGATCATACATCACTTGAATTTTTTTATTTTTGTTGACAATTTCAAAGTGCTATATATGTTTGTATGTATTAGAGGTAATATTTTAAGTGTAATGCTTAAATAATGAAGTTGTTAAATCTGAGGTCAAAGTACTGACAGCATGATGTATGAGACTTTTCTTGAGGTAAACTACAAAATTTGGATTATATATTCTTCACTTGTGAAAGGAATCTGTGGCATAGCAAACCTCACATACCAATATAATACCAATATATACCAATATATGGTACTTTCATTTCTGACCACAAGCATCTTGAACTCTCCAGCAGCAGAGAAAACTTACCCTGTCATAAATACACATGATACCCACTTCATAACCTGCTTTCACTCTAATCAAAATCAGGTGTTTCACTAGAATTTCTCACAGGCTAAATGAATTAAAACAACAGTCAAAATTAATTGAAATCATAAATTTAACATGGAAAAGATGAAAAGTCCCTAAAAACAACAGGTTATTTTGTGAAAACAACCGGTGAAAATCGCCTGTTGCGTGCTACTAATGATACCACTGAAAATCATGAAATATTTTGACCAAAGCTGGTAAAATAAGGATTTGGCAATAAGGATTTGGCATGGACTTATGATAACAAAAATTGGGAGAACCTTGCTCTTAGTGAGGCACATACATTTTATTTTTAATATGAACACTTCATTGTGAGCTAATTTAGAACATGAACATATTAATTTATATAAAGCAAAGTTGTAGCCTGGAATTTCCACATTTTATGTTGATCCCAAAATTTTATATTTTATTTTTTCTCTACTGTCAGAATATATTTGTAGAAAACATCCGTCAATCTGTCAACACCAGCAGAAGAAATATCATGGGGGGGGGTGCTATTTTTGATTTGTAATATACAATAGAAAGTAAATGCTGAAGCATGGATTTCGTTAACAGGCTTAGCACAAATTTAGAAATGTCTGAAAATCAAATTCTTCATTCAGTTTTTCGAGAAATTGAGAGAAATAGAAGTAGACTGCTTGTACAAGTTGTGATTGGTGATATAAGGTTTGAAAATATATGATATTATAAAATATTCAAATTAATTGAAAAATGATTCAAATCTGGGGGATAAGTCGTTCTGATGATCTTAGGTTGTATGCTCCACTTGGGGTAGGCAAATAGAAAATAGAAGAGTAAGCCCTTAGATTGTTACAAATATGGAGTTCATGCTCTATTTGGAGTTGGGAAACAGATACCAGTGAGGGGAGAGGCTTGAGAGTTGGTGTCAGAAATATGGGGTATATCTTTGGTTGCATGCTCTACTGTTGGGTGGTTTCAGGTCAATTAACTTCCTGCTAGAAGAGCTGTGTAATGTCACAGACTGAAACTAAATCTTATCTTGAAGTCAGGTTTTAAAGCTCTAAATAATGTCAGAAAGACAGGAATAAACTAAGAATGGATTATGTAAGAATATGATTAATACTCTAAATTGTATAAAAATGCCAGAAAATCTGACACCTTATCCAAATTTTATTGAGAAATCTTTGAAATAAGTACAAGCAGACGGATAATATACATATGAGATTCTGGTTTAAATCAAACATGTTGGTTTGAGTTGGTATCAAAACAAAACTTCCCCAATAGAAAATAATACAGTATAGAGGCAAAAAAACGTCCAGACTTATATTGGTTTAACTAGAATCCAGTTCATTTTTGCAATGTTTGTTGATAATTCCACACCGGATTGTGTTAGGTTTTTCTGCTCAAATATCATGTAAACTGGAGAAATAGATCCCCATTTGGCCTTATTGGTGAGTCATATATAATGTAGATATTGGTAGGCTTCAAATTTGGTTAGTAATTTTCTCACCTGAGAAATTTCTCTCTTTTATATCCCAGTCTATCATATCCTTAGTATTGTATCGAGTTACTGTAGTCCCCATCCACATTCCCCTCTCTCTAACAGAAAGAGGAAAGACTGGGGGGAGGGGTATAAGCCATACAGGGCTTATATAAAACTATATGGTGATGAAACAGGGAGCAAAATCTGAATAATAATCTGGAAGAATAGATTTTCCCTGCTAATTCTGAATTAACCAATCTTCAAAACGGTCTCTCAATTTATCATAATTTCAAAAATCTCAACTGGGCTAGATGTGCACAGGTTATTTTCAAATTTGGTTACATATTGCCTTATTGATAAACTGAACTTGTACTAGGAACTTCTGGGTCAATATGATGAAATAAGATTGCCAGTATCCCTGAACTACTGCACAGTATTATGCACAGCTTCTCAAATAAGACTTACATACCCAGGCAAGTAAATATAATAGTTCCCTCAAGTTTGGAGATTTTTGGGGCTAGGCAACAGACTGTGCATGTTACCAAATCTTAAGTAAGCTTATGTGAATCATCTAGGGACTCAAATTAACAGAGAATTGGTAATATGTGAGTTAATTAGCACTGTAATATAATTTGTTCCTCTGCTAGAAAAGTCTGTCTGCTCATCTTAATTTTGCTTAATTCTCTCTAAATTTTGAATGAACTGTCTGATTTTTTGGGCATTTTTATTCAAATTGGGGTATGTGCTATATTCCTTGTTGCTTTATTCCTTGCTGATTTCTCTCTTTCTACCATTTTGCAGATTCAGATATAACTCCTGATATTTCAACAATCAATACATCTTTTGATCTCCTTATGAAGTTAGGACTTCACATCAAATATTCATCAAGTGTCTTTCCTGAAGATTAGATATCATTTTTCAAAATATAAAATAGAGAGAATTTGGTTGGACAAGCAAGAAATAAAATAAACAGGCATGTAGTCAATACTGGTACTTTAATTTATATAGAAATACAAGAAAATCAGATAGTTCATTCAAATTTTGGGTAGAAATGAGTGAAATAAGCGTGAGCAGACGGACATTTCTTGAGGACTCTATTAACTATTCATTGAGTGTCCTGGACCTATGAGGCTCTTGAGAGTATTTGATTATGTGCTATATCCAGGAAATAAATCAAATAATGGCCATGTGTAATGTCCTGGCAGATAATGGTCATGTGTAATGAATGAGTACAAAATTGTGCCAACAAATGGTATCCATGTTTCATATATGCAAAAGAGTACCATCGAATGGTATCTATGTTTCATATGTGCAAAAGAGTACCATCAAATGGTATCCATGTTTCATATGTGCAAAAGAGTACCATCGAATGGTATCCATGTTTCATATGTGCAAAAGAGTACCATCGAATGGTATCCATGTTTCATATGTGCAAAAGAGTACTATCGAATGGTATCCATGTTTCATATGTGCAAAAGAGTACCATCGAATGGTATCCATGTTTCATATGTGAAAAAGAGTACCATCGAATGGTATCCATGTTTCAGATGTGCAAAAGAGTACCATCGAATGGTATCCATGTTTCATATGTGCAAAAGAGTACCATCGAATGGTATCCATGTTTCATATGTGAAAAAGAGTACCATCGAATGGTATCCATGTTTCATATGTGCAAAAGAGTACCATCGAATGGTATCCATGTTTCATATGTGCAAAAGAGTACCATCGAATGGTATCCATGTTTCATATGTGCAAAAGAGTACCATCGAATGGTATCCATGTTTCATATGTGCAAAAAAATACCATCGAAATGTATCCATGTTTCATATGTGCAAAAGAGTACCATCAAATGGTATCCATGTTTCATATGTGCAAAAGAGCACCATTGAATAGTATCCATGTTTCATATGTGCAAGACCGCGATCAACTAGTATCTTTGTTTCATTTGTATAAGAGTGCCATCAAATAGTATTCATGTTTAGTGATTGCAAGAATGCCATCAAAATATATATATGTTAAATGAGTGTAAATGAGTGTCATCAAAATGTATCTTATATTTCACGAGTGTAAGAGTGCCATCAAATAGTTGCAAAAGAACTCATTATTAGCTTGAAATATTTAATAAGTTATATGTACAAGGGCCAAGGGGTGTTCAAAAACATAACATATTTCAGATTTGTCTCAGTGTTATAATATTCTTCATATAATATGTATGATATGATTTACATGTTTATGTTATATTATTTAGTCAGTATGATATTCATATTATAGCCATGAAATTAATTGTAATATCTAAATCTTAAGTATGTTATCTTACATCAGGAGCTAAATGATAATAAAACATGTTTTAATTTTATTCATTTTTATATTTTCAGAATTTTTCTCACAACTTATCGACAACTCATATAGAGATCTTCATTCAATGTTCACAACAACTTACGGACTTCTTTACCAACAAGATAGCGAAGTATTTAAGAATTTATTTACTGACTTGAAGGCGTATTATCACGGCACAGATCACAATCTTTCAGACCTTCTCGATAGATTTTTCGAGACTTTACTCCAAAAAGTATTTGTGTTGATGAACCAACAGTATAAGGTGGATAGTAAATACCTTATGTGTGTCACGGAACATATGGATCAATTAGCGCCATTCGGGGACGTCCCCGCGAAATTGACAATTCAGATCCGACGGGCGTTTCTCGCTGCAAGGACGTTTGTTCAGGGTTTGAAGGTTGGAAGAAATGTCATCTTGGACACAGCACGGGTAAGATTGTTTGAAATGTTTTTCTCCTTTTTTGATCAAATTCCAAAAATTGGACATAATAATTTTAGGAGAACAGTTAAACAAAACAAAGTGTGTTTTTTGTAAAGACAACAAGAGGAAATCGCCTGTTACTTGTTGCTTATGAACCTCTCTGTTGTGTGAAAAAAATACATGTTCACCATCATATGGTTACATTCCAAAGGACCAGGCTTGATACGCAAAATCCTCATGGACTTCACTGTAAGCCATGCATTAGCTATAAAAAGTCATGTGAAATTGTCAGTCTGGTATAAATCCAAATGAGCCCTGCATGTTTTGATTTTTTGACATTCTGAAGTGTCAGAACCCTATTTTAATCTCCCATAGCATTCTTTGTCCTTTTACAGAAATGTCAGCAAATCTTGCATGTGCAGTGTGATAAACCTTGTCATCTCCTTCCTGAAATGATGTTGATAGTTAAGAAGCAGAAAGTTATGATTAACAGGCCCATAGCCAGCTTTTGCCAAGAGGGTTCACTTTTCAGAAAAATTCCAGGGCCTTCACTTTGACAAATTTGGCCCAAAATCACATGAAAAATACTCATAGATTCCTGAAAAACTCCATGATAGTCGTAGTGACATGTCACAGAAAAGATATGAAGGTACAGGATTGCATAACACAACAATCATTAGATCAGATTTATCAATGGATTTAATCATTGTGAAGAAACCATATGCAGGCATTTTACTCTTGAATTCTCACATCTTCGCTCATTCAGTTTTCACTGAGTTTCGATTGGTCGACAACTGATGGGAGCCAAGTGAACGAGGAGGGAATTCTAATCCCCGATCCCAATCTTGATTTCATGGGTTAAATACTTCCAGGTTCTTATAGACCTCAATCTGACAACTCAATTAGGAGTAGAAACACCCTATGTGTGACATATCATGTCACAATGATGCAGAAACAATCTGTACTATGACATATTATGTCACCATGACCTGTCAGGCAGCCGTTCAAATGTCCGTCTGTTCATGTCTATTTCTCGCTATTTCTCTCTAAAATTTGAATGAACTGCCTGATTTTCTTACATTTCTTTACAATTTAGGATGTTGATGTCATGCCTGTTTACTTTATTTCGTGGAAATTCCATGCTATTTCACTGTATTTATGTTTTGAAAACATGATCATCATGTAAATGTGTTGATGGAATGTCAAAATTATGTTGTAAAACAACATGTTGTTAGCACATTGATATATCAACAATTATGAAACTATTTAGGGAGGACTGACTTTTTTACATCAATCTTAGGAGAAAAATGTCACAGCATTCATATTTAAAATATAAATTAGAGTTGAAAGGGAAGGACTTAGCAAGGAATAAAGTAAACAGGCATGTAGTCAACACTCTAAATTGTATAGAATTGCAAGAAAATGAGGAATGTCATTCAAATTTAAGAGAGAAACAAACCAGAAAAAGCGTTATGTCTTAAGGGATATACCATTTTAGGCGTGGGCGTCCCTGGTTCATATAAGTTGTCCAGGTTTTTGATTATGGGTTTAGCAAGTACTAAGGTAAGGGTCCGATATTGTTCCGAAACCCTTCGGAACATGATATTAAAATTCCGAATTCCGGTATTTTAACAAAAGTCCGCGGTTCGGACCGATTCCGGTCGAATGGCACGGCCCTAAGATAAACTGAAGTTCAATATTGTCAAAAAATGCAGAAAAGGTCTATATACTAATAAATTTGCTCAACTTTATTTTTATCATTCCATCAAGTGGTGACATATTGTTATGGTCTCCATTTTTTGTGACGGTGATTGGTGACCGGGGGGGGGTTGGCAGTTGGCATTTGGTGGTTGGTGTCTGTAATAAATTGTGGTGACATTTTGCATGTTAATGCCTTGTTCATTTTTTTTAATTTTCAAATGTTGCCCTTTGTGCTTCATTGCCTTCTCATCATAAACATGGAAAAAAATAGCTGATTTGACAGACTGCGTCCAACATTTCGCACACCCCATTCGTTATACTGCCACACTTGTTTTTTTCACTCCACCTGTGTCTGACTCAAATTGTTCTGTATAAATCATAGTAAGTAAAAAGTTGTCCAATTTCATGAAAAATATGTTTTGAAGTTGAAAACCACAGGAGATCTTTGGATCTAAAACTGCTGCATCATTTTCCAATTATTTAATCACTGTTTCCAATTTTGAAATTGATTGAGTATTCAGAGAGAGTTTTTTCAGGAAGTGGGCGTTCTAATGTCAGGAGCTAATAACCTCCCTCTGGCGATTCCCATTGGTTAAATGATTACATCTTGTGCAACGCTTTATTAAAAGTACAGTAAAAGAGAGTGGAGTCAGTGAGGAATATATATGCCCATGTTAATGCATGATATATAAAAATTGTTATTTAATTTAAGTTTTGATGTAGGATTAAGTTTGAAATGACATAGACTAGGAGTGATTTAGAGAAGGTTCAACCACCATGTTGGATTATTGACACATGTTAAAAAAATACTCAGTTGATTTTTTTCTCAAAATTTCTCTTAGAAGAAGTCTTTGGTCATGATTTTGGAGACCCAAGTTCTGATGGTGTCGAAAAAAAATTGTATTTTGTATTTTGAGTTACAATTGTTTCTTAATTTGGAGAAACATAATGACTGAATGGAAATTTTATTCCTGAGTTAGTTTATAATTAGGAAATTAGACCCTGAAAATTCCTGGTAAATTATGAGGAGTAATGTCAAGTTGACCTGACCTTTCACTCAAGAAAATATGAGCTAGATAACTATGTTCCATGTGGAATTACCTAAACAATGTGAATTCTTCTATGAGTTCCCACGCAAATATGATTACATAACACCATTCTGAAATAGATAAGATCCCCAGGAGATAGCATTTTGTATTGTTTTCTACAAATTGAATAAAATCGTCATGACCTTTGAATAGTTTAGTGCCAGTCTTGCAATTATGTCTTTCAACATCAAGTGGGTTCTTTGTTAATTGCAGAATGTATATTTATATCATTAATTTGTCAAATTGAATGTTTTATAACAATAAAACAACCATTGTGTTAAGTGCATGCGAAAACCTAAAATGTCCGTCTGCTTATGCCTATTTCACTTTATTTCTCTCTAAAATTTGAATGAACTGTCTGATTTTTTTGCTTTTCTGTATAATTTAGAGTGTTGACTACATGCCTGTTTACTTTATTCCTTGCTGGTTTCACTCTCTTCCATTCTATTTTGCATTTTAAATCGAACACCAGTGACCTTTATTCTATGGATGACTCTAATAGATTAGTCTACTCAAGTCTAGGGTATATGGTTAGAATTCTGGTTATTATCCCATCGAACGAAGTTCGGAGGGATATAGGGAACGCCTCCGTCCGTCCGTCCGTCCGTACGTACGTACGTACGTACGTACGTACGTACGTACGTCCGTCCGTCCGTCTGTTTGTCCGTCCGGGCGATAACTCAAATACCGTTGGCCCGATTTTGTTCATGTTTTGTACACATATACCCTATGGGGGTAGAAGTTCTGCTAGAAAGCCGATTTTCAAAATGGCCGCTCAATTCAAAATGGTGGCCATTTTAGTGCCGATTTTACAGTAATTTAGGTGCAATATGTAAAACTGTAATAGCAATATGTTTTAAATGTAAAAAAATTATGAAGGACATTAGTAAAGCTATAAATGTAGACATTAAAGAAGCACATGGCAGCCATCTTGAAAAATGGCGGCCTTTATTCGTTATTTTACGATTTTTGCTATAACTCGAAAAGTAGTGGAGCGATTTTGTTCATATTTGGTATGTGAATACTATAAGCATTGCACACTGCCTAAAGACACTTTTGGTAGAAGGCGGCCATTTTTCAAAATGGCCGCCATTTTAACGTATATTACTATAACTCGAAAAGTAGTGGAGCGATTTTGTTCATATTTGGTATGTGAATACTATAAGCATGGCACACCGTCCTATGACACTTTTGGTAGAATGCGGCCATTTTGAAAAAAATTTTGAAAATGGCCGCCATTTTAACGTATTTACTATAACTCGAAAAGTAGTGAAGCGATTTTGTTCATATTTGGTATGTTTCATATTTCATATGTGAATACTATAAGCATGGCACACTGTCTAATGACACTTTGGGTAGTAGGTGGCCATTTTGAAAAATGGTCACCATTTTTATGTTTTTTACTATAACTTGAAAAGTAGTGAAGCGATTTGGTCATATTTGATATGTGAATACTCATGAGCCTTGCACACTGTCTCATGACACTTCAGATAGTAGGCAGCCATTTTATAAAAATGGCTGTCATTTTTACATTTTTTACTATAACTCGAAAAGTAGTGAAGCAATTTTGTTCATATTTGATATGTGAATACTTTAAGCATGGCACATTGTCTAATAAAACTTTGGGGAGTAGTCAGTCATTTTGAAAAATGACCACCATTTTTATGTGTGTTATTTTACAAGTACATGTATGCGATTTTTCAAAGATTTTATAGGTGGCTACTTAAAAGCATATTATTTCTTCTGATGACAACTTGGCTAGTGAGCAACCATTTTGAAAATGGTGGCCTTTCTGGTGTGTTGTTTTATGATGTTTGCTATATATTTCGTTTGTAAAAATACCAGCCATTTCTGTTCGATGGGATTCGCTACGCTTTGGCGTTGCCGTTGTTCTGGTTAAAAATATGGAGATCCTAGATTTTATGCAGGATTTAGGTTGAAATCTAAGATTTTCTTAAATTGTTCACTAAAAAAGAGTTGGCCTAACTTATATTGATTTCTCTTTTGTGTTTTGCAACTATCAATTTGAGAATAATGTCACATAAAATAGAGCTACTCGAAATAAATATAGTTTTCAAATTGATTTAGCTATACATAAAACAAGAATTTATGTTTATGGCAACTTTATGAGGAATTAAAGTGAATTTGAATTATCACATTTGACAAATAAAGTTGAACTTATAATTATATGAAAATGTTATTGATCAAATCAAATTGAGATTTCACACGAAATATGACGAAAATAAATTTCAGGAAGTGCTTACATATAAAATGGTTTTATAAAAGAAAGTGGCTTTATAAACTTAAAAGAATCAAACCAATGATGGCACAGTATGCAAACGTTATAAACAAAGTTCCAGTTTTGATTTTGCTTTATATTTATTAGAGATTTTATTTTAGTATTCACTCACCCAAGGTATATTCAAAGAGGTGCTTTAAGAAAAATAAGGGAGTTATGAAATCTTTACCCTTTCTAGTAAGTTTGATTTTTTCTTTAAAAGTGAGCTTCATCTGACTTATATGTGAGGCTCTGAAATTTAGTTTTTGATATCTGTAATGTTCCAACATGTGCTACAAAGCACCATCACCATCACCATCCCTGCAAGAAAATGAGCTTTATATTAAATAAATTTTGACTCTGATAAATCATATTGCTTAAATTCTGTAATTTCTGCTTGTTTTATTTCAAGATCTCATTCAGTGTTTCTCTGCTATTCTTATATAGTTTGAAGTTGAAGTTTATTGAAGGGACTTATTATATGTCTTGACTACAGCATGACCTTGGGTATTAAGAGCCAAATATTTCAAAAACAAGGACAGACATACCTTAACATTTCTATTTTGTCACTACTCTATATCTCTATGAAAAATATTAATGAAATATCAGATTTTTATTATTTCTGCGCTTATGATGCAATATATTGTCCGTATTCGGGGGTGTTTTTTTTCTTCTCGGATTTCAATCCTTTTTACCATATTTGGTATTTTTTTGAAATGTGACAATTTGAAAATATTTGCAAGGGTAAGATATCAATGAGAATTTATAAAAAATCAATTTCAATTGAAAATAAGAATTGATAAATACATGGCAAACAATGAACAGGAAATCAAAATGACTAAATGTAGTCCTATCGAAGCAATACAAAATAGGCCTTAGACTTTTTTCAAGTTTATTATTTATAATCCACAAAAGCAGTTCATTGATTGAGAAAATAAACATGATTTGTGACACATATTCTTGCAAGTGAGTTGTTACCATAGCAAAAACGGGTTTATCTCCTTGGTAACACTTCACCCATTTTGAAAATTGGAGCATTTTTGTATAATTTCCAACAAGCTTTTTGCAAGTAACTAAAATGAAATAAGATTGGCTGTTACCTGAGCTTTATATGTAAATAAACCCTAGGCAATTCAAGTAGTTAAATAAGTGGTAAACTATCATATTTTTCTTCCTGTATTAAGTTACAATATATTTTAAGAATTGTGGGTCTTTACCCTTAATATAAGACAGGATTGCTTTGTTTATTTCAGCTAACTTCTATCTCTATATTTTGATCTAAGCATCTTTTCTTCAATTTCCTCAAAATCCTCGATCTATGTTGACAATACCTTCAATCGATTTTTCATGTTCAGATTTTTATATTACATTTCACATGTAAAAGTACTCGCCACCTGCTATGTCTTCTTCAAGGGCTTTGTTCTGAAACTCCTGACTCTAAAGGTAGAAAATCTATTGAAAGTCAATAAAAAATAAACTGGATAAGAACTGGTATATTGTAATATCAAGTGTTCTTCATGGCAGAGGTGAGAATAATTGTGTTAAATATGACCCCTTAAGTGAAACATTTCAAATACGGGTAACATGACCCTTTAAATAAAACATTTTCAATAAAGATAGTATGACCTTGTAAGTGTATTTTCAAATAGAAAAGTAATAGTATATACCCCTTAGGGTATATGTCTTTCTAGTGGGATAGATAGTTTATCCAAAATAGTTTTTCTTAAAATATGTAAATATTTCAGCAAACTCTACCATCAGAGACATTTTGTTATAGTCTCCAACTTTTCTTTTTTTTGGTGTTTGGTGTTTAGTGTTTGCTGGTTGGTGTTTGGTGTTTCCTGGTTGGTGTTTGGTGGGCATTCATGTGGTGAAATTTTGCATGTTAATGCTCATCATCATGTTCATGTGAAACTGTTAACCATGTAATGGCATTTACATGAATCTTATTCTTATATTTTCAGTTGCTGCCTTCTGGCTCATGTAAGAAAGCTGTCACAAAGATGTTGCACTGTCCCTACTGTCGGGGCATGCCCTCTGTGAAACCTTGCAACGACTATTGTGTCAACGTCATGAAGGGATGCTTGGCACATTATGCAGAACTGGACCGATCTTGGAACAAGTATATAGGTGAGTTAGAGTCAGAGCATCCTCCAATCACAGGGCTTCAAAATCCAGAATACATTCTTTCTTTTTACCCCCTGCAATAAGCAGTTGGCATTTCCCAGATTAAGAACTTGCAATCTGATTGGCTGTCGCAACACTGCGACAGAAATCATGTATAAGTCATTGCGCATAATTAGATCACGTGATTCAGTTTATTCGGGCACTTCAAAATTGGTTATAGCAGGGGGAAGAAGGAGGTACGGATTCTGGATACCTGCTTAGGAGGATGGAGTCATAGAGTTGTGACTTTTTCCAATAATTTAGTTTAAAAAATTAACCTCAAGGTAAGAGTTGTATGATACATTAAATCTGGAATTTACTCCCACATCCTTCTCTTTGGTGATGCTCAAAGAAGAAATATAGGAAATAAAAGTGTTCAGTATCATGTACCAAATGGCAGGTAGTGACATTTGCATAAATGCCTTGTATGATAACTGAAGCGCAGACCTGGTCACTAACCTGGATATCCTCTGGATCTGTAACAAATGTCAGGTGGTGCCTTGTTTTCTTTTGATTGTATGTATGACAACTGAAGTACATGCCTGGTTGCTAACCTGGATATCCTCTGACTGCAATAAATCTGTCTTAGAAATGACTTTTATTGTTGACCCTGATATATAATGATGCTTTGCCAGACCATCATGTCATCTTAAAGGTCATTTGGTACATTGATATTCAGTGCATTGGTGTTTTGTGCAGTTTTGTGAGGGATTTTGTTGTTGGTATTTGTATGGTTTTTGGTTCAGTTTTGTATGGTATTTGGTACAGTTTTTGATTGTATTTGGTTCAGTTTTGTATGGTATTTTTGCAATTTTATATGGTATTGGTACAGTTTTGTATGGTATTTGGTAGTTTTGTATGGTATTTGGTATTTTAGAATAGCTTTGTATGGTATTCGGTTCAGTTTTACATTTTGAGCATTGACCTCTCCTCAGAAGACTTACTCTTTCCCGATTGATTTTGCTTCTTTAAAAGAGATAATACAGTAGGAAACGTAGGGTGGGACACAAATGTGTCCGATTGGGCCTACATAATGCCTGACTCTATATCAGGTGTAACTACTATTTGATAGAATTAACCTCTCTATATCAGAAGTTAATACCAAGATTTGATTTAATTAGTAGTAAAGCCAAGTTTAAATCTCCATCGAATCATGCTTATTTCATTGAATATCTGGTATTTTAAATGTTGACTACATACTGTCTGTTGTATTGCTTGCCTTTTCTCTCAATTTCCACTCTGTTTTTTTCATGTTAAAACATGATATCATGATCTTTCACCTAATAGTAAGGACCAAAAACACCATATAAGTAAAATAGCCATTTTAACCTAAAGGCAAAATTCCAAAATGTTATTCTTTGGATTTGGGAATAACATTGAATTAGCATGTAGCTTAACACTTTAAATAACATGAAATACCAAGATATTATAGGGTTCATTCAAAATTAGAGAGGAAAGATATGAAATTGGTATGAACTGGCAAATTTTTTGGCGAGGTAATTGCAACTTTCGATTTCACTATTCCAATATTTGTAGATAATTTTTGGTAAATTTGACAAATTATTATGTCTATCTGTCTAATTAGGAAATGCCTCTTAGGTCATTCATCACACTTGAGCAAAGTGTTATGTTCCTTGAAGGAAAATATTGTTTTTAGTGAAATGTCAAATAATGTAAAAAGGAGAGGAATTGGCAAGGAATAATTAGAGAAATAGGCATTAAAAACACTCTCTGTATTGTAAACACCTGTCTTGTTAATGAACACCTCTCTGGCAAACACCCCTCACAATAAATCCTACAAGTTTGGATCATTGTCTAAGATTACCCCGCAGCACAGTGGCTACTGGTAATTCCTTTTTATTAGTGACTGAAAAGGGGTTTTTATTTTTCTACTTGTCTGCCATAAACAATGGATAAATACATATGTGCAGATTGCCCAGTAATTAAATCTAAGTTGAGAAAACCACTTGAATTTTCCAATCAACAGAAAAAAAAAATTTTGCTGACAGTTTTGCATGTTATTCATAATGGGAGCAGTTTGACTTTCAATTTTCTAATAAGGGTGAACCTGACAATTTACATATGCTTTTCATGGAAAATTGGTTCCTGGAATATTGTGTTATAATGATTTTTATTTGGATAAGTGAATGTTCCTAGCTTATATGATATATTTGATATATATTGTGTGGCCAAATAGAGAGAGTCTTAGATTCCTCGGAACCAGAAATAAACTATAATGAAAAGATCATTACTGAAGAAAATTATACCAGAGAGAGTGTAATATGTAACATTATAATAGAAAATACTCTACTCTCATTGGTGAGTACATGTCACGTGATCTACTAGTGGTAGATGGTAGCGAGAGACTCCTGTGTTTTTCTGTTATCTTACTATTCCAGTCTATCTTTTCTTCACAGAGTGTTGACTTTGTACCCAGGTGACTTCCATCTTTAAAAAAATAAAACGCCCCATTTAATCTAGACAGCTTTCTGGCCCCATTGCTGCTTATGCATGCCTTATCTTATAGAGCAGAGATCATGATGATAAACCATGGCATTGGCATTTTGCCCCTATACAAGTCAGGAGAATATCTGCTCTTTCCAAGACTTTGACTTTGTTTCTCTAACAAGAGCTCCGTTTTCACTCTGAGGTAGAGCTAGATCGTATTAGTATCAAATAGTAAACAGAGTAAGCCACGACATATCAAGGAGTTGTGATTGACAACACAAGGTGAAGATGCAAAAAATGAATGATGTTGATTATAATAAAAGTGAGTAGTCCTAATCTAAAGTGAGTGGGGCAACTTCCATCAGAGTGGTGACATTGCCCCAAGGCCTTGATACCTCTCTGCCCCATTGTGGCACCATCCTCACAGTCCTGATGAAGTTTCCCACTTTCAGGCATGCACAGTTTGATAAGCTCAATGAATTCTTAGTTTCACATTCCAGCTCTAATTGTAACAATCACATAGTTAAGATAAGCACATAATTAATTGGACATTAAAGATAACACAGGAAGGAACAATTGGAAACCCTGTCTGCTTTTCCAACATGCACAAACAGGACATGGAGCAATCTCCAAGCTTTTCATCCAGTGTGATTGCGCTCCTTTCTTTCTCTCTGCAGCTCCTTAATTTCCAGGGTACTTTCCAAGTGCCTCATTTGTTGTTTATTAAAAGTGATTATTTATTGAAACTTTGTAAATGCATTGTAAACTGTTATGTTTGGAATTGTGTAACAGTTGAAGATATATTCAATCTGTTAATTTTGACTGATTGAAAGATAAGGTGCTTTGGAAGATTGAATCAGCTGTTAAGAAACATACTAAATGAAATTACAAGGAGAATGGCCCAAAAGTTTTGAGGTTGATTTCATTCATGGCCATTAAGTAATAGTTCTGAAACATGTTTATTATTAATTGGGGTAGTTATTTGAAGTAGTTGGGAAATGGGTGCTTTTATTTCTGGGAGTTTTCCTGAATTATGGTCCATTCATATCACTACTGCTTTAATGTTGCATATCATGTGACCAAGATGGACCAATCATATCAGAGGTTAGGTGGCAATAGATGCAATGAATCATGGGATTGGTGATACCTCTTCAGTAGTGAGATCAATGGAGGTACTTCAGCTAATGTCCCATTGAGGCCAGTTTCACTTGTTTTTTTGTTGTTTATCTTTAGCTTAATTGTCAGCATTGAATAAACTCATCAGGAACTCAAAGAAACGTTTCTAAATACTGAAGAATGGCTGCAATATTCTCAGGGAGGGCTCACAAATGTTTTCTATTAACAAAATATGGTGTTTCGCAAAGACTATATAGGCAGAAACACATCCCGAACCCCTCCCACAGAGCTTAATAGTAATTACTGAAAGATTTCTCTTGAAAAGGGTTAGGGTACAAAATTGATATTATATGAGATAACTGTATGCTTCACCCCCCCCCCCCCCTTCCTTCCTTTCAACACCTTTAGATGAGATCATGTGATATATTAAGCATAGAATGAATAATTTCATGTGTTCAGTGTTTCTAGATTTTTGTATATTCAGCTGTTAAGGATGAACTGTTATATCATCGCCCTTAGATAAAGTCTTAATTCTCTCACTATGATTTCAAGATATTCCTCTAAAATTCGTATAATTCTTTATTATGTCACCACCAAAAGTGGTGACATATTGTTATGGTCTCCGTTTTTTTGCGACGGCGGTTGGTGGTTGGCGGTTGGTGGTTGGAGGTTGGCGTCCGGCGTCCGGCGTCTGTAACAATTTCTTACAACTTCCTATAACTTAACAAATACTGTTTAGACTGACTTCAATTTTTTTCTAAATCATCTACATGTTCTCAGAAGTTCAAATCTGACTTTAGATTTGACATTTGACCTTCAATGACCTTCTCAAGGTCAAAAAGGTCTTTTTTCAACTTGCTTCACATTGACTAAATTTTTTTTCAAAATCATCTACATGTTCTCAGAAATTCAAATATGACTTTAGATTTGACTTTAGATTTGACATTTGACCTTCAATGACCTTCTCAAGGTCCAAAAAGGTCTGTTTTCAACTTGCTTCAAATTGACTAAATTTTTTTTTCAAAATCATCTACGTGTTCTCAGAAATTCAAATCTGACTTAAGATTTGACATTTGACCTTCTCAAGGTCAAAAAAGGTCAAAAAGGTCTGTTTTCAAAATCATCTACGCTTTCTCAGAAATTCAAATCTGACTTTAGATTTGACATTTGACATTCAATGACCTTCTCAAAGTCAAAAAAGGTCAAAAAGGTCTTTTTTCAACTTGCTTCAAATTGACTAAATTGTTTTTCAAAATCATCTACATGTTCTCAGAAATTCAAATCTGACTTTAGATTTGACATTTGACCTTCAATGACCTTCTCAATGTCAAAAAAGGTCAAAAAGGTATTTTTTCATCTTGCTTCAAATTGACTAAAAAATTTTTTCAAAATCATCTACATGTTCTCAGAAATTCAAATATGACTTTAGATTTGACATTTGACCTTCAATGACCTTCTCAAGGTCAAAAAAGGTCAAAAAGGTCTTTTTCAACTTGCTTCAAATTGACTAAATTTTTTTTCAAAATCATCTACATGTTCTCAGAAATTCAAATCTGACTTTAGATTTGACATTTGACCTTTAATGACCTTCTCAATGTCAAAAAAGGTCAAAAAGGTCTGTTTTCAACTTGCTTCAAGTTGACTAAATTTTTTTTTCAAAATCATCTACGCTTTCTCAGAAATTCAAATCTGACTTAAGATTTGACATTTGACCTTCAATGACCTTCTCAAAGTCAAAAAAGGTCAAAAAGGTCTTTTTTCAACTTGCTTCAAATTGACTAAATTTTTTTTTCAAAATCATCTACATGTTCACAGAAATTCAAATCTGACTTTTTTTCAAAATCATCTACGTGTTCTCAGAAATTCAAATCTGACTTAAGATTTGACATTTGACCTTCTCAAGGTCAAAAAAGGTCAAAAAGGTCTGTTTTCAACTTGCTTCAAATTGACCAAATTTTTTTTTCAAAATCATCTACATCTTTTCAGAAGTTCAAATTTGACTTTACAAGTTCTCAGAAGTTCAAATCTGACTTTAGATTTGACCTTCAATGACCTTCTCAAGGTCAAAAGGTATTTTCCAACTTGCTTTAAATTGACCAAATTGTTTTAGGTGGTGACATTTTGTCATGTTAATGCCTTGTTTTTTATTTCATTTCATACATTTGAGTATTACTTTATTATCAACTTAATTGATAAGTCGTTTGTAATAAGTCTATTGTATTTACTGACGAACATCCTTACTCTAATGCCATGGAGTATTTATTTCAAGGGAGATCAGTGGGGAAAGATAGTCAGATCCAAGATGGTCCTTTGTTTGTTATGTTCACCATGGAGACCAGAGCAGGACTCTAGGCTGCCCCAGCATGCTTTGTAAGCATCACACTGGAGACTGAACTATCCCAGCTTGATGTGTACTCTGTCAATAAAATATTTTTAAACAGTAACTGTTTCCATACCATCTAAACCCATTCTCTTAAATGTATTAGCATTGTTATGTCTTCTCTGCATTTTGTTTTCTTACTCACCCAGACCAGGATTCTTCATCTCCTGTTCAGAGAACGAACTATTTTTGGGGCAAAGTATATCACTGCAAAAGTGTTGGAAATTGTACAGTAACATAGAAGATCTTAAAATTGGGGTAATCTGTTTACAATGTGATGATCATCACCTAAGAAATTACATGGAAGATGTCTGTCTGCTCATTTCTGTTCATGTCTATTTCACTTAGTTTCTCTCTAAAATTTGAATGAAGTCACAGATTTTCTTGCATTTTTATACAATTTAGATTGTTAACTACCTTCCTGTTTATTTCATTCCTTGGTGTTATTTCTTGATTTTTCTCTTTTTGCATTTCAAAATATGACCTCCATGAATGTTAACTACAATTTGGGGTATGTTCAGTATATGCTCTGAAGAGGCAGTGGTTGGAACTATAAAAACACAAAGTTGTTTTTCTTCTGTGTGTAATTTGTGTTTTTGTCTGATTGTTCTTTTGAGCTATCACATGTGTCATCAATTCTTATCCTTCATTTCCTGAATATGAGAAGTTTTATGAACTCCAAGACTTTGTGAAAATGTAATTTCATGGAAATGAAGAAACTTTCTTGTCCAAGAAAATTTGGATTATTAACCTCACAATCATGCTACCTATAGACTTTTAGGGAAAATATTTTACAACAATCTTTTCATTTTTTGTTTTTCAGATGCCATGTACAAGGTTGCAGAGCGACTTGAAGGCCCCTTCAACATTGAAGCAGTTGTGGACCCCTTAGATGTTAAAATATCCGAGGCAATTATGAACTTACAAGAAAACAGTGCTGATATCAATGATAAGGTAGGTGCTGCCACCTAGTGGATACATACAATGTTTGCAGGCCCATACTCCCCTCTATTAAAACACAGCATGTACCAGACCCATAATGCTCAGTAAAACACAGCATGCACTAGACCCATAATGCTCAGTTATAATAGAGCCAAACTTGTGGACTCTAAGGATCAAACAAGAGCCATTGTTCTAAGTCTATATTCTAGATACTCTTCTTATCACCCCCCCCCTCCCTGTCATTTCCTTATTTTTATTTCAAACAGATGTTAAACCAATGAAGCTAATGTCAATAAGTTGCATTTCATTCAAAATATTTCAAAAACTCAATTTCGTATTTGAATAAAGATCATAAAATATGATGTTGTTTAGTTTGATATAAAGTTTTTATTGGCAAACATATTGTTAAATAAACACAAGTTGTATGTTTTGACTAATGTAGGATTGGGGGAAGATATAACACTTGGTGGTGAAATAGTGGTCCATTGTTTTCTGGATTTTACTTAATAGAATGTACCCTTGATTTTCAAATACTTTGATTTTTCTTAAAAGTAGACTTTCATAGTTAGTGCTTCTGGAAATTGAAATTAGTGGTTTTAGGAAATGTGCTATATGGTAATTTTAACTGAAACTGAAACTAAGTTTTATGTTCTATTTCCAATATTTCAAGGAATTCCTTCGATCATTTTGATCAGTCCTGTGACTTTCACACCATACATCTCCCCAGAAAATAGGAGATTTATCATTAAATTGAGCTATTTCATGCAGTTGTTCATGAAACTGTATAGCTTAAGTTATATTCAAGAGATTTTTTTTCTTTTCTTTTACATTGATTATGTCAGGTTCTACATTCAATACAATCTATCTTACATGCAATGTAACTAATTATTGAAAACCATTATATACATCCTCGTGGGGCGTGGTACAGGAACCCTTCAATATAGCACTAGAACTAGAACAATGTGGCTATAGTTTTTACCAGACAAAAGACTGTAAAGGGTCCTTAGCATTAAAAACACAGGGGACAAGACATTTAGAAATACAGACATGCCATATTAGGACTAACATGCCATATTAGGACTGGCATGCCATATTAGGACTGACAAATGGCAAATACTAAGTTCCTCTTACATATTGTAAATACCTTCTTTGTAAATTGCTTCTTGCATGCAGATAGAAGAGACCCCAGAAACTTTTTATAAGACTTCAAAATGTTGGAGATGGGTACAGTTACTTCAGATATAATTCTCATCATCCCCAATCCGAATAGTCCAAGTACACTGTTCAATGCACGAGAGTTTGATAAAGGATCTTGAATTTAGCCATTTTTCGGGATATCATTAATCTGTTGATATTATTCTAAAACTGAATGTTTTCCTAGGCTTTATTGAGTGTGGTTTCACAGAATACCAGAACTACTCTAGCAACAAGAAAAAAACTAGTCAATCAACATTTATTTAAGTTCCGTTTGTGTTATGGTTTATTTGTTGAAATGTTAAGTAATGGGTGTATGCCATATACGATTACCTTAAAAGTAAAATAGCATGGGGGTGATATTTTGAAATGGAAAATACATGGATAAAGAGAAGAATTATCAAGTAATAAAGTAAACACACATGAAGGCAATACTCTAAATTGTATAGAAATGCAAGAAAATTATACACTTCATTCAAATTTTAGTGATAGATGAAGTGAAAAAGTCTAAGCAGATGGATATTTTGAGCAGACGGCCATTGAAAGCATCAAGATGATCCTCTATGGAAAACCATTCTGCAAACATTACAGAACAAACTCCTTTGCCCTTTCTGAAAATATCCGTCTGCTCATGCTTATTTCATGTTATTTCTCTCTTAAATTTGAATAAAGTGACTTATTTTGGTAGATTTTCATATAATTCAGAGTGTTGACTTCATGTCTGTTTACTTTATTCCTTGTTGATTCCAGTATTTCATCATTATTTGTAAAAAAAATGACCATGGCCTTTTTTGTTCTTTCTGTTGGTCATATAAGAGGATTGGAGAACTACTTGTGTTGAAAATTCTGGAAAATGTGTGAGCTTGGAATTCCACCCACATTATCCATACTCAGGAATAATTCATTTATAAAAGTTATGACTTTGGAATTTAAATGGGGAATTGCGATTTGACGTAATACAATTTGCTGCTGTAGAATAATCGTAGATCATAATGTCACAGAGAAATAAAAGGAATATCTACCGCTTCATATATGGGGTGTACATTTTGAGATTGAGGAAATATAGAAAGGGAAGATTTCAGACATATCCTCAATATTTAGAGTTTCTAATTAGGTTAACCATTTTAGCATGATTTAAAATAGATAAGTTTGAAAACACATGTGCCTTTTCACCAATTTGGTATGTGGCCATGTGTTGATCTCCCTAGTTTCAACACCACCCACGCCAAATATGTTCTCCAAAGACATGCTCATTTCACCCAATTTCTCTCTAAATTTTGAATAAAGTATCAGATTATCTTGCATTTCTATACAATATAGAGTGTTAACTACATGTCTATACAATTTATTCCTTGCTAATTCCACTCCTCCCTACTTTATTTTGCATTTTAAAATGGACCCTTTTGGTATTTTTCTTGAGGCTTTCTATGCTTCCATCAATGACCAAGGTGAAAATATTAATACAAGCCTGAATGTAATTTCACAGTAGATTTAGTTTAGATTGTCTGACCAGTATGGGGAAACCTCAGACATTCCAGCCAAAAAATAAAATATCTTTCAGCCATATCTTTATCACTGAAATTCAGAATTTTTTCCAGAAAAACACCTAATTGTGAGGTTTACTCTCATAAGCTTTCAGAAATATCAGTTTTCGAGATTTTTTTTTAAAAATTTCATTATTGGTGTCTAAAATGAGAATTGTTTGGTTATTTTTGCAATACAGGTAGCTTTAGTTCTAATATAAAGCTTTGTATATATAGATATTTATAAATGAATTAAATGGTCACCTTTGATTTGTTAGTCTTGTTCTCTAAAGCCTCTTGAACCCCTTCCAAATAATTTGACATCCTGATACCCTTCCAAATAATTTTAGACCATGAAACCTTTTAATACTATCTCACATTGTGAAACACTTCAGAATTTTGCTGTATTGTGAGACCTTTCTAAAAATTACACTGGTTTTGTTTTGCCTGACCTCTCTTTTTAGAATTCAATGGAAGTGAAACATTCAAAAATAAGATCCTTACCATGTTAAGAAAGTACATGATCATGTGTTGAAAATCAAAATTTATTGAAAAATTGATAAACCAACAAGGAATAAAGGTAATTACCATATAGTTAAGTAAGGTACCACTTTAAATTATAAAGATTTGCCAGAATATTAGACACTTCATTCAAATTTTAAAGAGAAATGGAGTGAAATAGCTCCAGCAGACGACATTTGTTGGTTGGGTTGTTTGTTGCTTTAGTGACCACAGGTGATTATTATATGGTGATAAATCACTCATGATTTGCCCACTTTCCCTTTCACTGAAAACTTTTCAATTCTCTAAACTGCCCCATTGGTGCCAAAATGCTCGGTTTCCCTGACAACTGATTGAAATGTTCAAATAAGTATTTATTAGTGTATTGTTCTGACAGTTTATATTGTATCTAGCCCCCATGACTACCGGCTCCCATGACCCATAGTTTAAAATTATTGTCTTATTATTCCACTCCGTTTATCAAAATGTCCGTCTGCTCATGCTTATTTCACTCAATTTCTCTCCAGAATTTGAATGAAGTGTCTGATTTTTAGGTTGTTCTATACAATTTGGAGTATCAACCACATGTCTGTTTACTTTATTTCTAACTGGTCTGAGATTTGGCAATCTTATTTTTTGTTTTTAAAGTGACATGTCTTGATGGTTGACCACCATGGTTTTGCCCATAAGGGTGTATTTTGACCCAACTCTGACCCCAGTGTAAAGATTCCTCTGTAGGAAAAACATATTGTGGTCATGTTTTAAAATGCAGAACAAGTGAAAAAAGGAAAAATATTTAAGGAATAAAGTAAACAGGCATGTTGTTGACAGCCTTAATTATATAGAAATGTCAAAATGTTAGACACTTCATTCAAATTTTGAAGAGAAATTGAGTGAAAAAGGTGTAAGTATGTGGATATTTTGAGTTTGGGACTTGCAATTTCTAGACATTCCTCAGTATGTATGCAAATATAAAGAAATTTGATATAATGAGCATAATTTTACACTTTGAAACATGTCAAAATGTGTTTCTCTTTAAGGTAGTTCATACCTATATTTTATTTCTAGAATGTTTTCTAGTTCCCCATAATTTTTAATATTTCCCATGTGGATTAGGGATATCCTTTGCATGGTATATATGGACAATAAAAATACTATAACAATTTGAAATAATTTGTCATCATAAAATTGATATTTGTCAGGGCCTAATTCTTTGGTCAAATTGTGAATGGCATTCCAGCTTTGAAAGAAAATAACAGGTTGCCATGTTATGAAATTCAAATTATAATTAAACAATAAAGAATATGTGAACACTCAAAAGAACAAATTAGGATTAAAAATTCGAAACTGTTTAGAAATACAAAAAAAAACGATTCATATATGATTTAGAAAGAAAAAGACTTGAATTGTTCCAACCTGATATCAGTTTTATGTTAGGGGTAACATTTAGGGTATATGTCTAGGGTCAACACACCTTGCCTTGTAAATAGTGACCATAAGTCTTTATTTGCCAGTCATAGTTCCAAATATATGTCTGTCCATGCTTATTCCACCCATTTCTCTTTAATATTTGAATAAAGTACTACATGTTTTGGGATTTCTATATAATTTTGAACGTTGGCTACATGCCTGTTTTCCTTATTTTGTGTTTATTTCACTAAAATGTACTTTATTTTGGATTTTAAACATGTCATCATATGGTATTGTTTTGCTTGGATGTGTATCAAATGAGTCAGCCTAGACATGCTGTCCTCCATGCCCCTTGTTTCCAGGCCCAAACTTGCTTTCGGGGCTGGAATTTGACTATATTACACAGGGGGTCATTTGTTAGGAATTTGGTAATGCTTTTTCAAAGGATTATCTCTCACTCATGCAAAGAGTATAGCAAAATCATATTTTAGAAGCAAAGTCAGTCTTAAAAAGGATCCCCAAATATGGTCATTATCTTGGGTCTTAATACCAACAATCTGTGATTCCTGAAAATTACATGCACATGAAAAGAAGTATCAACCCTCAGGGCTGAGAAGATTTGAGATGTCATGGTATATCATGATGCTGATTAGTGGCAAACTTAATGAAAATCAAAACCAATGAATGACAATATCAAAGAAAGGCCAAAGAAAGGCAGTTTAAACTCAGTATATCATATACAGCAGTGAGAAATGATCGTTACTTGCAATGTAAAGGTTATAACTCTAAGTTACAGAGTTACCATATTTGATATAATAAACATGTATCACTAATTTTAAAAAACAAAATGATATGATATGATTCACACATTTTTGAATAAGCATCCTGCTTTTTGCAAAACCATAATTACAGTCTGTATAAATCATAAAGCTTTTAAAAGATGTATGCATTGGAATGAAGGCTTGAAAGAGTTTAATTTTGAATATAACACAACATGAATGTAGGCCTATAGATTTACTTGTGATTATAATTTGGGAAATATGATTTTGAAATTATTAAAGTAGGATGGGGCCCCTTGGTGCTTAATAGATCATGTGACCTTGTTTGACCAATTAGAATTGGTCATTTAGCATCATTTGCATATGGACATAGTCATCATGGACCTCCTTTTTAAATTAGTTCAGTTATTTTGAAATTGTCACAAATGGAGGATTTATTTCAAAGGGAAAATATTTACAGGAATTTCCTATGTTGTTAAAGAAGTGGTTAACCAGATGAAATCAAGCAGAAATTCTTGAATAGAGTTTTGTTTTCTCGTCATGGGGAATAGTGCCTTATTTCCTTGTGATGCGATGACCAAAGGATGATTGATGTACTAAATGACCTCTGGTATAATTCTTATCCTCGTCTGCTCATATCAACTTCATATTGTTTCTCTCAAAAATTTGAATAAACTGTTCAAATTTATATGATCTCTGTAACAGTCCAGAGTGAAATCGGTATCTGTATTCCCCGTTCTTCCCAATTCTAATTTTTGGTACTTGATTTCTAGTTTTAAATCAAACACCTTTATTTTTGTACATCTTCCCCACCTCTCACATAAAGCAAGTTTCTTGATGCATTTAAACAAAAATTGCATCAGATAATACTCTGTTATTGAGGGTTTCATTCACTAATAAGTGTTGATTCATACTGGAGATACAGAAATTAATAGCTAGTGTTAACTCATTCATTTGTTGACTCAAATAATGTGAGCCCACATTCAAAATGAAATAATATTTGTACTGTTTGTGTATTTCATAAAAATGAAGTATAACTAGAGTAATTTGATTCAATTAGTAGTGGCAATGTGAATAGATGTAATATTATATAGTAGATTGATTTGGATGCACTAAAAATTCAAACCCTGCTCTGATTGTGACTATGTATTTCATTCATAAAAGTTTATTCATTGCTGCCCTCTATAAATAAGTGAAAGAACTACACTACATGAAGTTTACAAATAATGTTTCAGTCAAAAGAAGTAAAGAAGTAAAATAAAGAGAATGAGACCAATACATTCTGCTTTGAATTTATGGTTTAGGAAATATTTACAGGAGTTCTCAAAAATAGCAATTAAAGATAGTGAAATATATTGCTCATTTATAATTCATCATCCTTTACAGTTCAATCTCAGCTTTAAAATTTTTGATTAATTCCTACCTCGCAGAAAATTTAACCTCGATTATCCTTTTCTCTAAATTCATTGCTTGATATCCCTAATATATGACCTAAACTTTATTTAGATATATATCTAACATCAAAAAATTGTATGAAATTTTTTAAAAATTGTGTATTTTATTTCTTTTGAGAGAAATAGAGTTAAATATACATGTCTGAGATGAGTTTTAGCACAGGTGGCTTATTGGCTCATAATTGAATCTCTATGAAGATATCTTAGATTATTCTGCTTGATGAATACAAGCCATAATCCTCACAATTTTCAATTTCTATAATTGATTTATTTTAATTATGTTGCCATGGTAACAGCTGAACGTATTGTGTTGGAAGTCTTTGAATTTGTATTAGAATTGAAGTGTCTCTGTGAAAAATTTTATCTGCTTATGTTTATATCAGGACATTTCTCTCCAAAATTTGAATAAAACGTCAAATTTTATTGCATTTCTGTATAATTTAGAGTATCAACTACTTGTCTATTTGATTTATTCCTTGTTAATTCCTCTCTTTCGCACCCCATTTTATATCTAAACATGAACCCTGATGTATTTTTGCCAGGAATAAATTGACATTTCTTTGAGCCAGAAACAGGTCAAGAAGCAGGACTATCAATTTATAAGTGCTTCATAATTGATATGATTGAACTTCGTTTTGTTTAGTCTAGAGTCTGTTAAAAGAAATAATATGGACCCTAAAACTGTCAACTCATATATATTATGTAAATAGAGAGGATAATAGCATTGAATTTGCACTAGGGGTTCACAATGACCCCATAATCCTTCAGTAAAATCACTGGTGATCCACTCGATTACGCTGGTTACCAAAACGAACCGTTTTGGTAACAAAATGTCGGAACGTCGAAGGCACGATTTTTCTTTTTTCCTTATTTCACGCGTTGTAGGCAGAATCCCCACGACGTTTTTTCTCACAACGTGCATCAGTATCATATGTTTTAGAAAATGTACAGGTTTGCGAAAAAATAGCTCAGAGAACAACAGAATCGTCGATTTAATTCCTCACCTAAGTTACATAAACGGTTTTTCGAAAAACAGTTAAGATCTGCACTTTCAACCCAAACCGTTTATGTAACTTAAGTGAGGAAGTAAATCGACGATTCTGTTGTCTTCTGGACTATTTGTTCGCAAATATGTACACTTTCTTAAACATATGATACTGATACACGTTTGTGTTAAAAAATGTCGTGGGAATTCTGCCTACAACGTGTAAAATAAGGAAACGAGAAAAACCGTACCTTCCGGATATTCCGACATTTTGTTACCAAAACGAATCGTTTTGGTAACCAGCGTAATCGAGTGGATCACCAGTGAAAATGTGGTAATCCCAACATACAATATCATAATGTCATATAATATCACAATTTGGCATTAAAATGTCATTTCATTCCCTAAAAAACATAATAACCAATAATTTACAAGTAAAAAGCACAACACTTCCTTTGAAATGTCATCATTCCTTAAACAATTATGATTATTTATTGTAGAACATATTTATTTATGACAGAAGCCTCCAGAAGTTTTACAATTGTTTTAAAACAATCAATATGGACTTATATTATCATATGTATGAAAGATGAATGGTGTTTTAACTGGTAACCGGAAAACTCATTCCCTAGACAACTCATCCCTGGACAACTCATCCTCTAGACAACTCTCCCCTGGACAACTCATCCCCTAGACAACTCATCCCCTCGACAACTAATTCTCTTTTTTCTTTATCTTCAGGTTGCATCTGGCTGTGGAGAACTAGAGTTGGACAACAGTAGGAAGAAGCGTGACACCACCGAAGATGCCATTATTACTGATAAAGAAAAACGTGGCACAAGAAACAAGAACTTTATGCGTAACAAAGATGCTCACGTCCGTCCCACAACAGCTGCAGGAACAAACCTCGACACTCTTGTGAGAGGTATCAAGAAGAAGATTGAAGACGCAAAGAAATTCTTCAGTAATATGCCATACGCGATTTGTAATGACGAGATGCTTGCAGCGCCACCTAGTAACAAAGATGAGTGCTGGAATGGCATGGAACAAGCAAGGTACGAAATTGGAATGTCCACATTTTTGCAAAAACATGAAAATTGAACTGACCTTTAAGAATTGTATTATAACGCAGATACAGTAAAGTACTTTCTCTAGGTTTATCTTTAGACAGGCTATTTATCCAACATAATTTTTTCTCTCAAATTCAATAATTTCTTTTTTATTATATAATGTCGCCCTCCTGTTGTATCACCATGGAAATTACACACAATAGTATCTCGATTAACAACTGGTGAATCCTGTTTTGAAACAAGTTCCTTAAACATAATTTTTTCACATTTTTCTAGGTACCAACCAGAGATCGTGTTAGATGGCCTAGTAAACCAAAACAACAACCCAGAAGTCGATGTTGACGTAACACGTCCTCATAGTATTATCCAACAACAGATACTACAACTTAAAACTGTAGAACAAAAACTAAAGGCTGCTGCTAATGGTATTGAGGTTGACTACATGGATATTGGTATGTTCATTTAAAAGTTCATGTGCTCACGCTGATTTCACTCATTTCCCTCTAAAGTTAGATCGAAGTGTCAGATTTTTGTTTTTATAAATATTTTCAGAATGATTTCAGTGTGTATGTGTTCAAATGTATTAATCTAAAACCTGGGCCCTTTTAGGATCAAAATTCGATATGATTTATTTAAAGGAAAAACCTTACAAAATTTCATTGCACAATTTGATTGTTTTTGCAGATGATGAAATAGGCGCATCTGGAAGTGGTAGCCACGGTGGAAGCGGCTCAGGTGGTGGTTATACATATGGAAGTGGTGATGGTGGTAAAGATGAAATCTATGTCGTCGTATCACCAACGACACCACCAAGAAAAACCTTACCCCCTATAAAAAGACCAAACAGTGCCACCTATATGTCAGTGACAGTACTTACCATTATACTCCCCATCTTCACAGTGTTGCTAAACAGGCAATGGTGATGCACACCAAAAATGATGATGTCATAGAAAAAGTGCACACATAGTGATGATGTCATCAAAAATAGTGTGCATGTCATCAAAGGCACATGGTAAGGAAATGCCAGGAATTATGGGAGTTTATCATCAAATACCAGAAATGTCAAGGTTAATTTGACATTGGTATTTACCTGACGCTTGAAGTGCAGGAAGTTCATTCATTAATATAATACTCCATATAGGACAACAGATGGTAGCACCTGTGTCAAGATGGCCGCCACGAGGGAAAGCGCCGCGTGGCAGCGTGTACAAATCAACAAATATATTGTATACATAGCGACATAGAGTGTACAGAGAATATTCAATCAATCTTTAGAACATTAACAATTTTTACACAATTTATATATCATGTTAAACATTTCTTGTAATCAAATAAAAACTGATTTTTGTTCTTGAATTAAAATGACAGTATGATCTGCAATTTCTTCACACTACAACAAGTGAAATCATGGTCCACCTGAAAGTACTACTAGAAAAGCAAGATTTTATGGTTTACAATATTTTAGTACTGAAAAAGAAGTCATATGAGTTGTTATGGCAACAAGTTATCACAAATACAATTATGTAGGTTTAAGTATTGAAATGTTAGGCCTATTGGCACTAAATCTTTTAACCATGGCCCTATATTATTGAAACACTTGGCCTTTGGGCACCACAAATGACCTTTGGGCATTACACGTTCAAACTATAGGGCCTATTTTTGTTTAATATGTTAAATAGGGCGCTACGTTTAAAATGTTGGAAGCAAACGCCAAATTGCGCAAAACCTTACTCATTTGTCTATTTGGTGTTTGCGTCCAAGATAGCATTTCTATTTTCTGCCCAACTGTTAATTTATCTCTGTTGAAGGATTTGCCAAAATAGGCAATGGCTTCTTTTATTAATGTAATATTCAATCTGATTATGTAAATAAGCACTTCCCATGAAATGGGTTTGTATATGTAAAAACTCAAAATTAGGCCAGTGTAATTGCAGATATGTTTAGTGTAGCCTTCCTATTTTTTAAGTGCATTTCACTCTTGTTATGAAAGTGATGGACAAACTTTTAAGTTAAAAGAAATAAAAAAGAAGGAACTGCAACTTAGCAAAGAAACAAAAATCTCAGTTTGTAAACTCCCTTTGTAAAAATACTGATACTATGATGTTAAACAAATATGAAATTGTACTGGCCTAAAATAATGTATTGTAAAAAGTAGAAAATAAGAAATAAGTCCATCAACGATACAAAATAAGTTCTGCATAATTGATAGCAATTTTAAAAGATGATTTTTGGTCACACTGATTTATATCAACAAAAGCGTTATAACAATTAGAAAAAAAACATGTTAAATATGGGAGAATTGTTTTGAACATCAGGGAAGTTTTAGTGTAATAGTGTATAGAGTAGAAGTAGAGACAATCATACTCAATGAAATATATATAATTAATTCTCCCTCATAAGCTATCATCCCTCACTGCCAGATAATGGACCAACCTTGTCCATGATGGAACAGTTCATTTGACAAGTCGAGGGTATTATTTTATATTATTGATAATGGGGGTGTGTGATTACAAATGCATTTTCCTGGATATTTTTAGTGTACAGTTGAAAGAAGTGAAATTTTAGTGAAGGGAAATCAGTGTGAATACGAATAATTCAAAGCCAGGAAAATGGGGTTTATTATAGACAGAGCCCTCTTTACGTGTATGTAGGTAATTTTTATTTATTCGGCAAGATATTTTTATATGTGTACATTAACCCGCAGCTCAGGGTAGCTTATCCGAGCACATCGGCCATTTTGAATGTTGCATTATGGGTAATATGACTAGCAAAAAACCTTTGCAATGGCTGTGTATGTGGTACGTGTTAGATGTGTTGACATTGTGCGTGGGCTAGTTCATTATTATTATTATTATATAGATAGCACAATTGTACAGTGCCCCCTTTTGGTAGAAAATACCAAGATTTAGGGCAAAGTTATGTAACAATATTATTTACCATCTTTTAATATCATGTTTGTATTTAATATAAATCCTCAAGCATTTTAACAGATTAAGAAATATGTAATTATGTAAAAAATAAGTGTAGTGAAACGAGTTGCAGACGACATGGTTACACCCCTTGAATGACATATGGACTAACTCATTGATAAACTTGATTTTCTCAATAAATTCCAAATTATATACACTTATTTCTTCTCCTTAATATGTACATTTCAAAATAGGCATAGATATACAAGTGTTTGATTAATTTAAAAAATGGATTCGTCCAAGTATGAGAAAGGGGTGATACCCTGTCATCTGCACCCTGTGTTTTTGTACTTTCAGCAGAAAGGACTGTAATATTTCTATGTAAAACAAAATGTCACAAATTTTGTACCACATAATTTCAGAACAATTTTTTTCTTTTCCATCTTGATATGCAACAACAATTTTGAGATTTAAATTTCAAATGGTTTATGTTTTTTCTTCACACTGTAAAGTTAAAACAGGATGAAATAGGGTGAACAATAAACAGAAAGGTTGAATGTGATATCTTTATTGTATAAATTTATAAGCACCAAATCACACATTTCATTCAAAGTCCATACAGCAAAGACAAATTAAAAAAGTCAAAACGTTTATGCATTCTTAAAATTTGAATGAAATGTTAGATTTTTGGGTATTTCTATACAATTAAGAGTGTTCACTCTTGTGAATTTCAAAACATGACCATTATGAAATTTTTCTCTCAAGTCACATGATTCGAAAGAATTGTCTTCAACAGTTGACAAAATTTCATCAAAATCAAACACACTAGTTTAATAAATTCCCTACCTCACTTTAAACTAGGGGTGGTCTCAAACGTTTCTCATTGTTTAGTTTTGAGACAACCCCTCTTGTGTCAATATGTGGAGCAATAAAACGAGGCTTTGAATATATCACTTTACATTTTGAGATAATCCCCAAATTCTCTCCTATCTGCGCTCGGTATCAGAATTACAATATAACTCTCATTTTGAAATAATCCCTAGATCTCTCCCTAAGTATTACCCTTTATTAGAATAACAATATAGCTTCAATTGAAATTTCACAATCAAAATGGTTTTCTAGTTTATCCATATAACTTTGAAATTTTTTCCTGGTTTCTCTTCCCCACTCTTCAATTAAAACTGATTTGTGACTGGGATGTTATTCAACAGAGGAAAGTGATATATTTAAAGCATCCAACATTGGTGTACATTTTACTGAAATAAATGTGAAGTCATTCAATAAAACATAATGTCTTGTGTTTGAGTAATTTTATTACAAAAATTAGTGTATGAACCAAGGGCTTAGTTAATACCAGGGCTTAGTTGTGTACCAAACGAAACGAGAAATGGCACGACATCCGGGGCTTTGTTTGGTCTTCATTAGGCAATGGCTAATTTAAATCGGATGCTGTAAAAAACCGAATGCCAATTTCCGAACGTTCCAGGTATAACATTCACCCTTGTATGAACCACACTGGTATCTCCAATAGAACATTGTGGGAAGCAAAAAAAGACTATTCATAGACCAACTAACTCGAAATATGAAAGTTTATAAAGTTTTCAATATATATATTCCTCATGCATACCAATATAGCCTGTGACTGACATAATTAATAATATACATGTATAAGCAATCACTATGCGAGCCAACTTGACGGTGCCTTTATTTCGCCACCAGAAGTGGTGACACACTTATGTTTTGTGGATGTTGTTTAGCGGTTGGTGTTTGGTATGTGTAACAAATGGCAGGTGGTGACATTTGCATGTTAATGCCTTCAATTTTTATTTTTCATCAAGGATATAATCTCTCCAAAAACATCAACTCAAAGACTTAATCCTCAAATCAGCCTATGATGATACAAGTATGATTAATGAAATATATTTAGTCTAATCTATCAAACTTGTCAAATGTTGATGCAAAATATCTGTATATGTCAGCCAGTTATAATCTGCAGAACAGCCGTCATCATTGAGCCTAGGCCTGCAATCATCTGTCAGTCTATCATATGTCAGTCTACCATGTGTGTGAGGCGGTCATCAATCATCATCCGTAAGACATTCATCTATGAACCAGCTTAGTATTAGAAAGTCCCTTTAACTTAAATTACATCTGTTTTAGTGGTTCAATTTTCATATAACCCTTATGTATCTAATTGTCATGTAAATTAAATTATGTCCAGTAAAAGAAAATGTTATCTGTCCAATACAAGAAAAGATATTTCACTTTTTGTGATTTTAGAAGTCACATTTTCAAAAAAATTAAATTTTCAAAGTTTATAAACAATTTTCAAAACCATATATCTAGATGTACTATTACATGTAGATTTTGAATGTTTAATGACGTAAATCAAGATTATTTCTACTCGCATCTAGTCTATTGAAATCTCACTAAATCGAGTTTTAGACAGATTCAACCAACTATGATAAATTATGAAATTAAGTCACTATTGCAAGTTTTTAGCATTGAAGGATATTGCAGTCTAACCCAACCAAAACAACTAAAAACAAGTGCTGACATCTATCTATTCAGCTATATAGCAACTCCCTTATTGCATCATAATTTATTTTTCATTATAAGGAACAGACTTTGAACCTCTTATTACTTTGCTATAACCTAAATGTACTATATAAAACGGATGTGCTTTATTTTAAACAGATTGATCACGATTAATTGTTTAAATCGTTGAGGATATGAGGATTTATTGAATTCATAGATAGTTTTAATATATCAATTATTATAGGTGGAATAGAAAAATAAAGCAGGTAAGAGATATTGTTTATATGCCTCTGGGTCCCCGCTTTAATATATACGAGAATATAGAGTTTATGTGTTCATTTTGACCTTCTTGAAGTGTAATGCCTTGGTCACATAGGCCCCGATTTTCACTACGGCGCCCGGCCGATGAGTATTTTGTTCAAAATCGGCCGGCGAGCCCGGGCATCGTACGGGCGCCGGGCGATGATCGCCACTCATCGGCCGATTTTTAGACATCGTACGGGCGCCGGCAGAGTTTTATCGCGGAGATAAAAGTTGCCGATGTCTTGGCGATTTTTTCTCAACCAAACTCATCGGTACCTACCCGGCCGTGTCCCGCCCGGTCATCGTACGATTATCTTACGGCGCCCGGTGGCATCGCACGGTCATCTTGGGATTTTGCGTGCTGATTTGTTGATAAATCTTAATAATGATTACTTATAAAGTGATATAAAGGTTTTAGAAATAATGAGGTAAGGAATTGTAATAACTACACACTGTCAGAGATTTTTTATAAAACATAAATGGAACGATTAAGCTTACTGTAAAACAATGACACACATATTTGAATGGCTGGGTGGGTGGGTAGGTTGATCTAGTCGTTCTTATATTGACATTAATCGTGTATGTCTGCCATACACATTGAATAGAGTGATACATTTTAATGCGTATATTCACTCATGCATATACCATTACAATCATTTATTTTAAAAATCTTCTGAATGTTTTTGTAAGTACAGTATTTTCAAGGGTCACAATTTTAATACGAAAGTTCACTGTCTCAATTACAGTTAATATGCCAAAGGCTAAGGATAGAGGGAATAAGGCCAATGGACCATATATGAGGAAGGCCTTGGGAAGACAGGTGGAAAAAGACAATAACAATGCTAGTGAGCTGGTGGATGATTTAGATTTAGATTTTAGATTTAGATGTGTTTAGGGAAGAGGGTTTTCCATTTGAAATAAAGGAAAAAATTGCCAATTTGTTTGATGATAGGCCATATTTTTATGACCAAGCAAATTTACGAGAACAGACAAAAGAAAGATGCAGAAATAGGAAAGGATGATTCTCGGTTTGGAGAACGAAGTTCATCACTCTAATTGAGCGCTATCCCTGCTTCGGACAAATTTGATTTTTTTACATAATATAGATTTGAATGTCTTCTTTTGAATAGACATAAATTAATTTGGGTAATATTTCTAGATTTTCCATAAAAAATTACTAGTGAACCACCCAACGTCGCTTCTATGATTCGTACCACTTTTTTAACTTGATGTATTGCATATTTTCGTGGGTCGATTTAAAAAAAAATACAAACGACGTATACATGAATATGTCATAAGCATATCGTGAGATAATTGTTAGATTAGGTTTGCTATAAGTGACTTTAAAACAAAAAAATAAAAAACATTAGTTCACGTGTTAAAGTTCCATTGACCGTGACATCAAGGAAAATTGAGCTTTTTGTCATCAGACATCTTTATAGATGGAACTAGCTATGTACTACATTTTCAAATACACTCACATAGAACATATCTAAGATGTTCTTTTTATCGATGAAAAGATTCTTACATTCGGAAGTTACATTAAAATATCAATTGCAATAGCCGCCTGTTTTTAACATCCCTTTGTCACTCATCCCTTAATTATCTCTGTGTATCCATTCTGATACTCATAGCATCTTTCTGTTTCACCTGAAACATCTCAGGGCTGAGAAGAAATGAGATGTCATGGTTTATCATGATGCTGTGTATCTTATACTTGTGTGTGTTCGATTTTGATAGCACCCGAGTGCAACCTAAGGAGCACATACAATACATTTTGTGTATACCCAGTCTGGTCTTATATCTGCCTGCTCCGAGGAATTTTGGTGGCGATTTTTTGATTTTTGTAATATCCTACTACATAGCATCTCTTGTGCGCGTAAATCCCAATGTTTTGAAATAGAAAATAGAGACTCAATTCTATATCGATAGTTTCACAGATGAGGGTAGCGAATCGGAATGGGCGCAGCTTTGACGATCAACGAATGATATAACGATATCACGGATTTCACCGAATGTTATATTCATCCCTAAATAGCTTATTTATTTAGTCTTAAGATCCTTGTGATGTTTCTATTCATTGCAGTGACTCTGAAAAAAGAATGAGGACCTTGTGTTTCACTCTGGACGAGGGGGGGGGCCATGTCTCGGCTAGTTGTGCATTAACATTTGATACTCTTTTGTGGATAAAAATAATGAATATATGTTAACGTAGCACTAAGCAGATACTTTTAAAGAATATAGTTACACTTAAAGAATATGTCCAACGAATAGATATTGAATATAGGACTCGTTTGATGAACGATCGTTGTAATAATTCTAATAAACCTATAGAAATGAATCAACGATTAAAGTGCTTATTCAGTAATTTCTGTTTATTTTTTCTCACTGCAGTAGATTAAACAGATATTGGTAAGTAAAAATAGTATTCCAACAGACTCTTAACTCATTCTATTTGTTCCTTAGTGGCAAAATAAGATTTCCCGGGAAAAAACATGACGTCACGAACAGAACCGGTTATGGATTTTTATCGGCAATGCGTTATGCAACTCGAATGTAAATTCAAAAGTGTTCGTGTTATACCGTGTTCTGATTGGCCAGAAAGGAGTAACACTTACCGAAATCACCTCACGGTTCAATGCCTTTTGGTTACAAGATTTTAGACGCCTTATGTTAGGTAATACTATCAACTGAGCGTGTTTATTTTCTATATTGTGTTCTGACTGGCCAGAAAGTAATTCTGCATGACTAGCTATGTGAAAACGTACCGCTGGGTCGGAGGCTCTAATTTAGGTATTATTTTTTTTGGTTTATCGGAGGAAAAAACGTGACTCCAAAGTAGTCATCTCTGAATCAATTCCTCACTTCAATGAATGCAGTTGCAATCAATTACACTAACACTTTATAAGCACGTTCGGAGATTATGAACTCCAACAACATATTCTAAACCCGTCCTGTTCGTGATGTCATGATAGAGATTTGAAATTGTGTTCCCGATTTTGAACATTAAATTTCACATTTATAAAAATGTTTACAAGAACGGTTACTGGTTCGACATGTTAGTGGTATTTACTTCATTTAGAACGTGTATAAACTGTATTTTGACCCCATGAGCATCGAACAGACACTTTAAGTTAATTGAAAGACTTCGTGTTCAAGTTAGCTGAATTTCGTGTAACTTAACTCTGTTATGTTTCTAGATTTTACTTGTGGAGAACAGAAATCATAATCACAATCGTATTTTAAGGCAAATAGGCCATGCATATGCTTTGAGTTACACGGTGAATGATCAAATTAACATATTTTGGATGTTGAATTTCATTTCAAGTTCATTCGAATTTTACGCATTATCCAATAAAATTAATGTATACTGTCTAGGCTGAGACTAACATATATATGTTATTTAATGTATTTAATATACAGGATCTATCTGAGAAGGTTATACATGTATAATATATCTACAAGAGGAACAGTGGGGACCGAGGGTTCATATATTACCTTTACCTGTCGAAAATCGGGCATTTAATAACTGATTTATTTGTAAATTATGAGGATTAGATACGCATTGAATGTAAGTTATTGAGGTGTTAGAAAAACAAACTTACAAACAAACCACCGAGTTTAGACATATTATTACATGTATTGTCCTATTATCAAATCATATATTGTGTTCTATTTCTAAAACGTTAACAGTTTATGGTGTACAATAAAACTATTACTATGAACCACTTTGATACATTTAGACATAAAATATCAAGTTACTCATCAGCCAACAAATCACAAAATATCGAAAAATGAAAAATACGAGGTACTTGTCCACTCAAATCTTGCAGTCAATTGGTAATGTATGTTATATAAATAGTATATAACATATATAATGTATATTATATAAATAGTTCGCAAAGTAAATGAGCAAAAGCGTAATATTTGTATGTAGCATGCTTCATAAAACAAGTCAGCGTGCATTTTGTTCCTGGCACTGATTGGTTAATAAGTGAATACAATTCGTTGAATGCACGATGCACTCACAAGATTAGCAGCTGGGAAAGGCTATTCAACAAAAAGTACGCTTTCGTACTCATAAAAGGATTACCCTTTTACAACTTTGACAACTTTGAAGCATGAACTTAGAAATGTACTTACTGTTACTGTTACCCTGTGGATCCCAGGGTTTTGATATGTTCTGCGAAGTCATGCAAAGAAAGACCATATAGTCCATTTGTCATTTTTTGAACGTATGAATATTTAAAAGTATGATGTTTTTCTGTGTAAATACTATCATTAGGGACTATTGGAGTGATTTAGCTGGGTTGCCAAAAAAATAACTTTGGGGAAAATTTTGGTATCTATTACCATAGTAACATACCAGGTATATGGTGGTATCCCAACGCTAAGTCAATAGTCAACGCCATGTTAAGCGATTGCACCCCTCCCTAATCAGCCTATATAATTTTTTCCCCAAACAAACTTTTTCGGCCACCCAGTTAAATCACTTCAGAAAACCCTTATTATCATAAATCGACCATAAAACATCGTACTTTTAACAAATTCCAGGTTCACTATTGGATGTATAGGGGTGACAAATGGACTAATATACTAAAAGTATATGCCTGCTAGTCATATCTGTGACACTTTTGTATGATATGTATTCCACTTTGAACCACAATCTATTTCAATATTGTGAAAATATATATTTCCCAAATTATAAAATAAATGATCTTGTATTCGCGAATGCCACTAACGCCTGTCGGCTGCCGGATTAACCTACTATTTTATGGGCAATTCATTAAAATATGAATGGAATATTGGCAGGTACTTTTAATATTTAAATAAGTTGCCCATAGAAAAGTATGTTAATCCGGTAGATGAAATCTTTCATTCCCAAATCATAGTCTTAGCTTATATTTGCGAATGCAAATAACGCCTTTCGGCTACCGGATTAACCTTCTATTTCACTGGAGACCCATGTAAATACGAATAGTACCTGCCACTATTCCATTCACATTTAAATGAGTTAGTCATAGAATACTGGGTTAATCAGGTAACCGAGATGCGTTAGTTGCATTCGCGAATATAAGGTTAGAGTCCATTTCACTGTTTTATTGCGTCAGTAGAACCCCAAAAATAAGAAATCGGGAGACCATTGTGCAATAATATATGGAAAAGTAGATTCATATTGTACATGAATGACATTTGTATATTTCAGATTTTCTCGTTTTTTTGTGCAATAAGACTGTGACCTCTTGTAATTTGAAGAATTTCAGCCATGTTAATCTTATTGAAAATAACATGGCAGAGAAGCATCCATATATAAGAGGCCACACACTTCATAAGCTAAACTAGAAGCAATCCAAGATATACAAATGTCATTCATGTACAATAGGAATATATATTTCCATATATTATTGCATGATGATATTGTGATTTCTTAATTTTTAGGTTTTACTGACGCAATTCAACAGTGAAATGGACTAGCTTGTATTCACGAATGCAAGAAACGCCTGTCGGCTACCGGATTAAACTATCTTTGCAATCGTCGGTATTTTAGCGCGGAGATAAATGTTCAATATGACATAAATATTTGATATGACATCGATGAATACTTTCATCATTCTGGTGGAAATGTCTACCAAACTCCCCTCCCTTGTTCCCCTTCCCCCAAGTAACTTGTTAAGCTAAGTTCACACCAATGGCGCTTTGATGGCGCTTTTAAGCGGCGTGCAAAGCATAATCAACTGATGTGAATTTCTGAAAATTGTGAATTAAGCTTATATCGAAAAAGCTAAAAATCCATTGTTCATGTCACTAAAGGTTCGAAAACGTTATTACATTTTCCAGTTACTTTAGTTACCACAGTTATCCAAGGCTATTTGGGCAAATAAAATCCGTAGTTTGAGTGATCAATTCACGCTCAGCGATACTGCATGGGGGACATGAAAAGTTGTTTATTTTCCAATAAATCCTGCCATCATTTGGTACATCAAAGAACCTGATTATTGGCTAGATTAATGATGTCAAAGGTTGTAGGTAGCAATATGTCCATAAAAAAGGATTAACTTATTGCTGAAATTGAAAAAGAACAACCCATGCCATCATCAATCCAGCAAATCCAAAATGACTAATGACTCTGTTTAATGGTAACTGAAAAAAGACTGGAAACTTTTATTATATATAGCAACATACTGAACATAATCGATGGTTTCATTTTGGCAATCGAGGTTTTATTACAGATTCTTATATGATAAACCAAACAACTTTTACATTTACCAGTCGCTTATGGTAATTAGCCATACATTTCTAGGTATACGTTTTATCGCAATCGTGTCAAAATATAAATTGTATTGATAAACAGAAAAGAACACAAAAATCATATACGGGCGCCATTTTTCTAAGGTGTTTCTAAGTGTTGTTTAATCTCTCTAGACTATCTCTCATCAACGGCTTATTGTAGATTGGTTGAACAATGAACGTGTTATTTATAGCTATAATAACCACGTTGATCGATGCTTGGGCGAATTTTAAGGTTTAAATCAGGAAGAGAGAGGTAGAAAGAGGCGTAATCTTGTGGCAAGTTCCTCAACTCCTACGCGCTGAATTGTGTTTCGATTCCCCGTCCATTCTCCACACCGATTTTTTATTTTTAACTCATTGATGTATCCCTTTAAAGGAGTACAGGCTACAGTGAAGCTGTAAAGGAAGGACGTTTGTTTATTTCCATATTTCTGAATGTAAGCTTATACTAGATTTTACATACATGTTTATTCCAAGTGTTCTACTATATATTGTATAGATTCATCAGGCAGTTTTCAGTGTATTATTAGCAGAAAATCCCCATCGACCACGTAATTACGTGGTAGGATAGAAGTGATATAAATACACCCTCTCCAGCTCACAGCAATTGACTAGCTTATATTCACCACTAGCATAGTTCATAGCAAGTGGTGACATCTAATTAATAGATGATTAATCAATTTTATATATGACTTGTAAAATGCCAAAAATCTGAAGTCGCTCTTTTGAGAGGCCCTCTATTGGATGAATGTGTATAAAATGTCAGAGAATATCTCGAAAATGGGACACGATTTAAGAATGAATTATTTTCGAATGTTTCTTAAAAACATATTGAAAGGATTTTTTCATGATATGCTCATGACATATCCCTGTATGCTTTGTTTGTCTTTTTTCTCAAATTGACCCACGGAAATATGCAATACATCAAGTTAAAAAAGTGGTACGAATCATAAAAGCGACGTTGGGTGGTTCACTAGTAAGTTTTTGATGGAAAATCTAGAAATATTACCCAAATTAATTTAAGACTATTCAAAAGAAGACATTCAAATCTATATTATGTAAAAAAATCAAATTGGTCAGAAGCAGGGATAACGCTCAATTAGAGTGATGAACTTCGTTCTCCAAACCGAGAATCATCCTTTTGCTAATAGCATCGGATGGACAGGTAGACATAGTATTTGTTTATATGAAAGATCTAAAAATGAATTAAGGTCAGGGTGCACTTTGATGAAAAGACCACGTGAAGTATGGCAAGTGATTTTAGACGGTCATATCTTTCACCATGGGCATAAATACAGTGTTTTTATTAAAACAATATGTTTTCTTTTAATTGAAGTATCCATGATAGTAAAAATATCAATCAAACAATTTGAAAAATTATGAATAGGGACCCCATGTCAGCATTTTTTTCTAAATATTGAACCTATTTAGAGGATCTTCTTTTTCTGATTTTTATTGCATGAAAACATTATTATACTGGAAGTCCTGTCTATCGAAGTATTTCGTTTTCAAATCTTGCATTCATGCCATGTGGAACAGTCATACTGGGTCAAACAAGAATTTAGTATAAATCTAGAGGCCTGTAGATCGACCGATGTCCTGGCGGGTGCCGTACGGCCATCGGCAGATAGCCTTGCGATACCCGTGCGATGTCTTTCAGTTTCAATTGATCGCGGGCGCCGTACGATGCCTGTACTAATGTGACCATACTCACGATTAGATCAAGACATCGGTGAAAAGTCACCGGCGCCCGGTCGATTTATAAATCGGCCGATGACTACTCATCGGCCGGCGCCCGGCGGCTATGTGACCTAGGCATAAGCACGGGTAACTAGAGTATCCGCGTATATTGAGTATGACCGGTTCTTAGGCTACGAATATGACCTGTTTTGGAAAGTCATGAGAGGCACAGCTGCTTAAAAATGGAAAATAAAGGTTAACTTCTATATTATCCTTTTTGAAATTGTGTTTGTTGAACATAGTTTATGCTGTATTTAATAGTAATGTAACAAAAAAATGTTAAACATGAGCTATTTTAGCAATGTAACTGTTCATAATGGAATATCAATCAGAAAGTACAGATTTCTCGCCTTAGAGCCAAATCATTAATATCACAGTAGAAAAAAACAAATCCCAAACCTTTTTATGGCTAACCTGAACAAGATCTCCAAATCTCAGTTTATATGATCCCCCGTAGAGTGAGCAAGAGAAGGATTTATCTTTTCCCAGAGGATACGCTTGTGAAATGTCATGGAAACGAGTGTAACACGGCATCCAAGACATTTCACAACCGTATTCTCCAATAATGGGGCACAAGTGACATTCGTATTCTCAAAAATTCAAAGATGTATCATATTTGGACAGAGCAGCCTAAATTATTTAAAATATTCATGACTAATTCGTAGATCTAGCTATATGTTATACATAAGATGTGTCATCCTCTTCGGAGTTGCGTTGTGTTACACAAAAACTGATCAAAGATGCTGGAAACTAGGATTTTACGGCTTCAATCTAATATTAATACGTTTTCTGTTGATTAAGGCCCCTTGTGATATGCCTGGCATTATAAGTATACCAAGTATCATTCATTGACCAAGTAGGATAAAAAGAAAACGTTCGAAAGTGTTCATAAAAACCAAGTACTCACCTCGTCTGTTTATAGGAACAGAAATACGGTCACACTCGTAAGCTTAGAACCGGTCATACTCAATATACGCGGATACTCTAGTATCCCGTGTGTAAGCACTCGGTACTGACGGATCCAGAAGCTAACAAGGGGAGGGCACATTTCAAGTCAGGGAAAAAAATTGGCCCCTAAAACCAAAGATTTGCCCCAAATTTTGAAGATTGAAGGCCCATTTTTGATAATTTGGCTTAAAAAGGCTTTTTGGGCCCAAATATTTTTGGGGCTCCAGATTTTTTCCATGCCCCCCCCCCCCATCCCACTAAAATTCAGCATCGTTTTCAGATGATCAAACGGGATTTAAGCCAAGGACTAAATAAACGAATTGTGACTAGGTTTAAAAACGAGTTCTTGTGTGCGAGCATTTTACAAAGACTGGCAAGGTCAACATTTTGACCTGCACTAAGCACAAGCTACCTATACCACGTATTATCAGCCATTATATCATAATTTTGATCATGGATGTTTCCCCCATTGCAATTTTCTTTGTCAATTCCGTATCTCTTAAAAATAAAGATTGGTCAGAAACTGTTATTGAATGCGTAGCAATATGTACGCTATAAATTATGTTTGCAGATTGCGAAAGTAGAGGATGGCATCATACACAGAAGAGGTGAGCTCATTGTTCTTTTCGATTGTTGAAGTCTAAATGATAAAAGGATTAAAAATGATATAGATGAACCAAGAGTAAGTTTCAAATCCCGCCATTCGAATCGTTATGCAAACCGATGCAAGAGAAATGCAAATGTTCAATCTACTATACCTAACACCTAGAAATGCATAAGATACTTTGCTTGTCTAATTGAATTGTTTAATATATTTTTGATAGTGCCTTACCAACATCTAACTTTCAACCGATAAACCATTAATAGGGAACAGACAAATAAAAACAAACTACATAATCATTACTAATAAGCCAAATGCATCATGATAAACCATGCCATCTCAAATCTTCTCAGCCCTCAGGTGAAACAGAAAGACGCTTTGAGTATCAGAATGAGCCAAATGGGTTGCTCATGAACATCAAATGCAAGTTTTGCTGATAAAGCAGTCACTGTATACAGAATGACACAAAAACGTCACTCACCTATTTTAATTCTAAAAAACTCTCTCAAATAAAAAATATATATTCGTGATTTTTTTGTGTAGAAAGAATGTTCAAGTGGGAAAAAGTGGTGTATTTATATTAGATTTAGGATTCTGAAAGAACCGCGAGTTGTTTGTAGAATGAATATGGGGAGCCTTTTCATGCATTTCGCTTGTGTTTTTCATCTAAAAAACATCAATACACTTTAAAACATTTTATTGATTATAAGATTGCACCATATAATTTCTCATTTTCAAGGAATATCTATGGATTAACACCCGGGTATTGTTATTTTTCAAACTTCAGAGGGCTGAGCATCATTATTACGATCACTTTTGAATAATATTAATGCTGTTTTAAATCGGTTTCATGCCAATAATTTCTCAAATTATGTAAATGGTACCCCTTCCTAAATCCCAAGAATTTTCTCCGAGGAATTTCCCATATAAATCCAATGGTATGGTTCCAAACAGATTTTGAGATAACAGGAATGTCAATCATTAATACACACCTCATTGGGTTGTGATATAAACCAAAACAACAAGGTGACACCCTGTATATGCTGGTTAGTTCACTAACAGGTTTCACGAGGTCGAGAAAAGTTATATGATGTATATCAGTTTTTAAAAGCTACAATTATAGTCATATTGATAAACCGCTCACTACCTGTATTTTGATTAATCATTTATTTCGTATGATAATATTAAAAAAGATTAAAGTGTCAACAGTCTCGAGTAATTAGTTAACATTGTCATCGTACTATAGTTCAACTGTGGGCTTCCTCTCTATAGCAAATGGTTCAATTAACTTTTTTTTTACAAACTGAGAAGTCTACCAACCTATTTAAAATGGTCAAAGTGTGTACTCTCCACTCCAATAACATTTTGACCGATATGAAATAATCAAGACGAGATTTTGTTTTTGCAATATCTTTAAAACCATTTGTCCATTCATCAGCAAACGCTACATGATAAATTACAAATGTTTGCTCTTTTTTGATTCAGCAGATAGAAATGTTGGCAATCGCAACGGTATCGACTATTTATCGGACGATCAGACGTTCTCATAACACACTAAAATTCTCTTTTGTAGAATGGCTATCGTCTCAAGGTGGAGATACTAGGCCATAGTTATTATTTGGTTGGGGAAAGTGAAGACAGTGTTGTAGTAACCAAATCGACATCAGGCGGAGACATTTGGTCTTTGGAGGCTGGATCGTATGGCTTCAGGATTCGAAATCTTCGTTTGAACTTGTTTTTGGAAGTTGAACGAAATCCATAGGACCGCCGTCGACGCAGAGTCTTCATGTCAACACAAAACGATAAAGACAGTCAACTTTGGGATTGGGAAAGTGGGTCTCAAAGGGCTCGACGATTAAAAAACCAATCAGTCGGAGGAGATGAGGGATTTTTGGAAGTGGAGCGGTTAGGTCACAAGGGCGATCTTTCATTCTTTAAGGACACAAAAGGTGTTTACGCTACAACCAGACCAAGGGTGGATTTAATGAGCTATTATCAAAAATGGACCCGGGAAAAAGTATTCTGAATGGCACTAAGACAGGATTCATCCTCCGTATGCAGGGCTTTGGCAAAATCCAGGTTATCTTCTTTCTTTTTATCGAGGTACGGATTTTGGATACCTGCTTAGGAGGATGGGCAGGATTCGGGACACACATTTGCCAGAATTGGCAAAAGCTTGTTGCCTATGGGATAAGGGATGGGATGCCCCTATCGTAAATTTTGGCAAACATCTTTTAACCTTAGCTGTGAAGCCACAACAATCAGGAGGACTTGATATTACAATCAGAGCCCTCGAGACCATGGGCATTTCCTACAGCCAATGTAGTAAATATTGAAGAATTAATGAAACATTCATGACAATTAAAGATAATAGTTTATTCCTTCCCAAATGCACCATTTGCATTCTTTCGACTTAACAAAGGTTTGGTATTTGATTACAAGAATTTATTTTGGAAATATGATTACAATGAATCTAATTGAAATATCTAGTTTGTAATACAGGAAATGGAAGAACTGTATTATTTCATACTACTGGAGGAATTCAGTAGGGTCCATGCTATTACTGCTCTACAACAATGGATGTACCATTTACTGGATCATTGTTATGGTAGCAGTAAGACCATCTGTTTAAGCGGTAATTATAATCATACGTGTGTTTGCACCATTTATAGGTTGAACCGTGGTAATCGCATCTATGATTAAGTTCCCGTGGGCTGCAGCAATAGTCCCATGCTGTGCTATCATAACGACACCAGTAATAATCGGAGCCGCCCTGGTCTCGGTGAAGGCCGCATGGGTGGTCGCTTCTACAAGTGCGTGCCTCGTTTGTAGCTGCTCCGGTAGTCATTGTGCCAGCGTCACCGCAATACTGCCATTGTGAGCCCGCCTGACAGTGGAGGTAATTCTGTGAGTGGTAATCGCAAATTCGTAATTTGTGCAACAGTAGTCCCAGTGATTATTATTGGTTGTATAGCACCAGTAATAATCTCGGCCGTGATACCCGCACGAATGACCAACTCTGCATAGTAGCCCAGTCAAACTAATGAGAAAAGTAGCTTAACCCAAAACAAATTGCAATAGAAATCAAAATAGGTTAGTTATTTACATTTATTAACCTTGAAATACATACTAAAAATCTACCAAAATCGAAATAGTGGAACAATGTTAAAATTTGAATCGAAGATACCCCCTACCCCACCCCCTTCAATTCATAAGTGCAGGACTAAAAAACATATTTCTTAAAGTTGAGGTCTTATTTTTACATAATTTAGCTTGACCACAATTGGATATTGTTTTTCCTAGATAATAATATTAATTTAACCAAGAAAAAGTTCATTTGTCTTCTTTTTAACCCTTACAAACCCAGAAAATATTGAAAAAATCTCTCAAATTTCGCATATAATAATTTGAATATGTGTTTTTATCATGATAGGACCTTCTAGAAAATGTCCTATAATTTTATAACGATGGACCAACATTACATTTATTATTCCTTTGTAATATTGAAATGATAGGTTTATTGAATTTTGAGAAATAAACTTTTTGATACCGTATGGTTAGGCTACTAGAATGTAGGTCGGAAAATGAAATTTGTACAAATGAGAGGAAAGGGCACAAATAAGGTACCGTTGTAAAACTAATGACCCAATCTTTTCAAATCCACTTGTTTCCCAGTCTCAAATTTGTTAACAATAATGTCAAATGCCAGTTTCCATAGCAACCATTTGAATATTGTTAATAGATGTAATACGATATTAGGCAAATTCCACTCATTATTCCTCGACTCAAATTCATATTTGTATCATAATGAAGCAATAAATATGCAATTAGCCCATATGCAAATTAGCTCGTTTGCTAATTTATTATGACATCATATGATGTGTATTTTATCGTACCTAAAAAGGTACGATACTGTTGTCTGCTTGGCGGATGGGTGGTGTTGCATTTTTCTTGGAATCACGATTCCTGGAAAACCACTTAATGGATTCACTTCAAATTTTCACAAATGTTACATGGAAAGAAGTTCTAGAGCTGATTCACTTTTCGGTGGCCATCTTGCATTCTGGCGGCCATCTTGGAAGTTTTTAGATAAATCTTGCCATCACAATTCCCAAAAATCTCTCAACATATTTATTTCAAATTTTTCACATGTTACATGGTAAGAAGTTCTAGATCTAAAAATCTTTTCAGAAGCCATCTTGCATTCTTGTCCCCTTTCAGTGGCCATCTTGCATTGTGGCGGCCATTTTGGAAGTTTTGGATTAATTTTGTCATTGGCATTCCATGAAAACCACTTAATGGATTAACTTCAAAACTTTACACATGTTACATGGTAAGATGTTCTACAGCTGATAGACATTTTGGTGGTCATCTTGCTTTTTGGGTAAACAAGCCCACACTGCTATGGTGGTTAACCCTGTGCCTTGTTCTACATTGTACTAATATATCTAGACACAATGTTGATTGGTATTGTAAAAGTTAATATTGTCACGCGGTAAACACGATACAAATATATGTTATATTCCGCAACGAATATGGCATATCCACTTGCGGTGTATGCCAGATTCACCCGCAGTATATGGCATACACACTAACCAATGAGAACTTTAAATGGAAACAATCAAATCGATGCATTCTGTATAACGTTTTCATCTACTGTATATGGCATATTCGGCAGTTGAGTGTATCGCATATTCACAGCGGAATATGCCATACTCACCATTGGAATATGCCATATACTGCAAATATCGCACAACCATGAATATATGCCATATTCCGCATAACAACTATAAGAGTATGACTGGAATATGTAAGCACTAGTGCTAAAGGGTAAGGACCAAAACTTGTTAGAACAAAGTAAAAAATTAAGTATACACCAGTCACAAGAAAAAGCAAACCCAAATTGAATGCATCACCAGTGAAATTCAGACTAAATACAATTAAATTTACTGAAAGCTACTTGAATTCACAATTTTGACACTGAAAAGCTTAGGTCATATTTTTGCGATTCTGACACTACACTTTCATAATATTCTTCGAGGTTCGATGTACTGGTAGCCAAGAATATGCTAATAGCCTTAGCCTCATGCAGTCAGAGGGTATCTTAACCTACTTTTGAGATTTGTATGGAAAATAGGTCAGAACAAAAAGTTCTAAATGAATGCAATGTTTTAGGTGTCAAAATACTGCAAAATTTCTGAAATCTGACTTTGAGTTTAGATTCTTTGATGTTTTGAAATCTCGAAAAGTCGACTTGATGATATCCTCATGTTAAGTCAATGGTGCGAACTTGATCAGCAACCCACTAAGCTTCTTAATCAGCTACTTACACAGCTACCTATATCATATTTATAGTGTATATATTATTAATAAGATTTCATTTTCAAGTCCATAAGGGTTATTGGTCTCAATTCTCCCAGTAATTTAAAAATAAGTGAAACAAATGAAGGCCTATCCCTATTTTTCAATTTGTTTTAAAAAATTAAGACTTTATATATATTTATATTATATTTAAGGCATACATTATATATATATGATTTCATTATAAAGTCCTTATGGGTTAATGATCTAAATTCTCCCAGTGATTTAAGAATAAGTGAAGCGAATGAAGGCCTACCCCTAATTTAAAAATTGTTTTTTCGAAAGTTATGATTTTTTTTCTCAATAACTAATGAATGCAAAATTCTCTTGCTTTGTATATGTATGGATTACATAACAAGGTAAAACTGGGATTTTTTTTATACATGATTGAGTCGCTTTTTTGGAATATAATGGCGTTCACATAAAATTACCGTGCGCATTTAATGCAAAATTTCAGATGAATAAGGGTTAAAAATATTCTTATTCACTCTGAATACCAAAGTTAAAGAGATACACAGATTGGGATACCTTATTACAAGCAAGAAATTGTAAAATTACTTAAAAAAAATTGCAGGCATTTGAAAAATAATTTTTTCCTTAGGGGGGTCTGTTTTTCAAGGGGAGGGGGTACCAAAAATGATTTTTTTTACATGTTCCACTGAATAGATTTTGGTAGATTTTTAGTATGTCATTTCATATGTTGATATAAATTGAAAAAACAACATTTTATTACTATTGCAATTAGTTTTGGGTCAAATGTTACTTTGACTGGACTATAGTGAGTTACCAGCTGTCCTCGAATTAGCCATAACATCGCTACACAAAAATCCTTGAAATCGCGGATCTTTGCAAATTCCCTCAAACTGAGGTGCTGTGTATTCTTTGCGTCCAGAGGCCGATTCCAGTGATTTCATTTCCGATTCGAATTCTGTTGCCCTTTGACGTGGAATTACCTCTTACGTAAAGCGAGACGCTGCTTGGTTAAAAATGGACGCTCGAGAAGGTGGCAGATATTTCAAAATTCGATTTTGTGACTTTTGAAGAACCATCTTTTTATAGTTCAAAAGATATTTCGATGGGCCACTTTGCCCCAGAGGGCCGTTTTGCCCCATGTTCCCCTACTGTATATTCTTTGCGCCCAGAGGCCGATTCTAGTGCTTTCACTTCCGATTCGAATTCTGTTGCCCTTTGACGTGGTTCGTTTATAGGATTGAACTTGCAATGCGTATAGCACGTGTTTATTTCAGCAG